TTTAAAGCACCTCTTTACTGGTTTTACTATTCAGACCAGACTTGTGTTAGTTTCTGTCCATGGAAAGTGACCTTAATTAGTCAGTAAAGCTGTTTATTAACAATAACCCTGCTAACAAGATTGTCACTGTTGTTATTTTTTTCTTGATACAATAAATTACTATTAAAAAGCTCTGCTTTTTTTCTCTCTGTATGTAGTCGCCACTGTGATGTCTGACTGGTCATCAGTAACAACTTATCAACACTGCAGTACTAATGTTTAAAAAAGTTCCTTTTAAATTAAACATATGTAAAACATACCTAAACAAAGATAACTGAATGAAGTTTTGTGCTGGAGTTTGTGTTATTCTAAACTTTGACACCAATATTTTCAGTTTTACTTCAAATACTGGTCACTGGCCATCTTGATTACTGATAACTGGTATCAGCCCTGAAGAAAACACATCAGCTGACACCTATAAAATGCACAAATAAATGGTAAATATACAATAATGAAGCAATGTCTTCTTAAAAAGGCTCTATTGTTATTCTTTGGAAAGCATATTTTCTCCATGAAACACATTCGAAGACTAGGATTTGAGAAGGACAGCATGTACTGGACAGATTTAAGAAGAACAGCCACATTAGGGTTCAAAAGTCTCCGGCTTCACCACAGGAGTGGCTTTAATCTCTCCACTTCATAAGCTCATTAATGGGAAAAGATGCTGCAAAAAATGGCTGACTGGTGAGGCTTTTTATCCTCTAGGTATCACTCTGGATGTGCAGCGATGATGAACACACACATCTGTCATCGTGGTGGCTCAGGAGGACGGGACTGATTGCATGACTGATGGATGACAAGGCATGCAGCCTTTAAATAATTCAGCAAACTTGACTGGGCTGAGCTGCTCTTTCATCAGCTCCTCATATTAGGCCTGCAAATGGACTCTTTAATGAGTGCGCAGGGCTGCTGTCAGAGGAGTTGTAGAAACATTTAATCAGGAGGGTGTCAGGAAGGACTGAGAGGAGAGGAAAGGGGAGCTGGGGGAGCTTTTGAAAAAGACAGACAAAAGGCCAAAAGCAGCTCCGTGTGAAAGCAGGGCACTGTGGCCGTCTGCGCATCAGCATGGAGGACACGTCAACTCCTCTGCGCACACACACACACACACGCAGCTTTCAACTTTAAATCAGCCTTTTACGCGCACACACGGCCTCTTTTTGTGCTGTAATTTGTCTTAAATGTGAAGCTGGGAGCCTAAATAATTCAAAATCACATCCCTTCAGGCGGCTTGTTTCCAGAACATTCTCACACAGTGGCAGCTCAGACAGGAAGGATGCTCATCTGACGGGTACAAAAAAATGTGAAATCTCTCCATAAAAACAGGACAAATCTGAGCTTTCAGTTAAAAAAAACACACCACCACAGCGGGATATTTTTTTGTGTGTGTGCCACAACATGCTGCCAGGAGCCGACGCCGTCCAGCCCGGCTCAGAGGAGAGAATAATACAAAAAAAACAAAAAGGCTGCGTAAAATCCAAGGCTCGCAAATCTCCCGTTAACCCTCCCGATCGATCACTTACCGTGAAAAGCGGCGATCAGCTGTCAAGTCGGGACGTGAGGAGGTGATAGGAGGCAATTATGTAATTAAATGGGGTGGAAGCTGCGGGGACATGTGGTGAATAAGTGAGCGGATCTTGGTATGGATGCGGCGCACACAGGCGGGATGAGAAAGCAGCGAATGAAAAGCAGGCAGCGGGGATATGAGGAGGAGGAGGAGGAGGAGGAGGAAGAGCAGGGAGACAACAGCGGGCTTCACCGGGCCACAGTCAGCGCTTTGTTCTCTGCAGGGAGGGAAACACTTTCTTAATGCTTTACCAGAGAGAGGATTTATTTTATTGGCTTCTCCCATCACACATTCCACCATGTTTGTTTTTCATTTCACTCATTTAACGTAAAAAGTCAAATCTATTGTGTTCACACGTTTAAATGTCATTTTCTCTTCACTACACACTTTGTTCAGTGTAGGATTGATTCAGATTTGGTTGTTTGACAGTTTTGTGGCCACTTCCCACTAAACTCTCATCCCAGTTTCGGTGGACCTCCTCCTGCTGGGACGGCCCTCCTGACATCACATGTGGTGTGAAAAACAGCTTCTTTACTAGAAGTCACCCTGCAGAGTTGTGCCTGCTTCCTAAAAGCATTATAGTGAGTGTTGCTACAATGGGACACGTTATGGAAACCTGTATTTTGTAACAAAAAAAAGGAAAGAAAAAAAAAGGTCATTTTATATGTAAATTTCTGACTTTGAAGACGGTAGAAAAAAAAACTAAAACATTCTGTCATTATTTTGGTGTTAAGCAAATAGAAATAATTTTGGTAACTGACCTAAAACAAGAAAAGTTTAGTCTGATTAAACGTCAGACAGTAAGAAAATCTAAGTTTTTTTTTTATACAGTGTATGCAAACTTCTGATTTCAACTGTTTTTATATAAATAATTATCCTAGTGCGTCAACTCCCAACTTGATATAATTCTATAAATATTATCCCACTTACTACAAAATACAAAAGGAAAAAGAAAGAATGAACTACAACAGACTTGTTGACTCCATCTAAAATGAAATATGTCCTGAAAACAGTTTTTTACAGGCACCACTGGCAGAAAATGGGACACACACGAATATATACAACATATATATATATATATTCCAATTTCCATGAGCACAAAACATTCTCTGATAGTCTGAATGTATTGTTTTGGGGGTTTTTTTGTTGTGTTTTTTGCATTTTCAGTCTTAAAGTCACTCTTAAATTGTGTTTTGCTTATCCTTAAATGTTTGAGCTTCATCTTGCAGAGTGTGAAATGTGCAGTTTGACACTAGACGGCTTTTTTCACATTAAGCTGCTTAAAAGGGGAACATTTCCTGTCTTCACTTTAAAATGAAGGCTTTTACCTTATTAACTTGTGCACATGGTGTTTGTGAACTGTAGAAGACACAAAATAAGGGAATCAAAAGTTCACACCATGGCTGAGGATTTCTACCTTGAAATGGTCGTGTACCATTGACAGTCCAAGAGTTTCCTACATAACAAATCCAATGAACCAAACCCACAACTTTCCCAGAGCTTTCTGTCTCGTTCTTCTTCATTGAAATCAGTTTTCTGGTTTGAACATGTGTGGCTCAATTACTCTAATATTACAGCACGTCATTATGTAGCTTAGAGTAGTTTTGCAATGTTTAAGCAGAGTCAAAGGTGAGCTGGTGTGCTCGAGCTGCAGCTGGTGGCAGAGGGGCGGGTGGAGACAAAGGTGGGAACTTCATAGATCTGCACATTCTAAAGGAGACAACGGTTTAAGACAGGAAGAGGTTATATTCTAGAAAATAAATCTAGATATGAAACTGATCCACAGTGGTGAGTTTTTAGAGGTGAAGTCAATAACTGAAAGAGGACCAATCTGGAAGCTAATCACAGCTCAAAGTTCAACTTACACAAGTGCAATCCAACAGCTTGAATCATTCAGTTAGAGTGTGATGAAGAAGCTGTAATTGATCATTTTGTTGTATCTTGTGTCCCACTTATTTGACTGGGTTCTTGAATATACTGCTTTGTACAGACATGTGACAAATTAAAGGAAAAACCAGAACCTTCGACCCCTACTCTGAGGGATCTGGTGCTCTGTTAGCTGACATGGTTTGGCTTCACTTGTCCTCTTGGAGGGAAGAGTCACTGCAAATTAACACCAAGTTGTTCACACATGAAACAATTCTAGTGGTCTCTTCCAGGATGACAATGGTTCCATCACTGAATGGTTTGATGGAAATTATAGGAATCACATATTATGTCCTTCACAGTGACTAGATTTGAACCTAGCTCAACATCTGTGGGAGATTCTGGAACATTTAAGGTAGCACTGTCCACCACCATCATCAAAATACCAAATGAGGGAATATCTTTTGGAGGAATGATAATCATCCCTCCAGTGGAGTTCCAGACACTTGTAGAATCAATGCCAAGAAGCACTGAAGCAGATTTCGTGGCCCGTCACTGTCTTTCATGCTGGTTTCTCCTTGAATTTGTCACCCGTCTGTAGTTCTTCTTATATTTCTAGTGCTGTTGTTACGCAACATGCTGCAGTTTTCCATTTTCCCTTGTTCTCACTCCTGTGAAGTGTTTCCAAGCATTTTTTATGGTTTCTTGTTTATGCAACATTTCACAACTTCCACTGCGTGAAAGAGGAGCACACTTTTTTTTAACTGCATAAACTGAATAAGAGAAGATGGCATTTTTAAAACAGCCACTTTGTTATATTAACTAACAACAGGTCAGATGTGTAGAAATATCTCATGTGTCCTTCAGACTAGTTTTCAGTGTTTGCTGGGCAGTTTTATGTAAAGGGCAGTACTGGGGAATTTGTTTGCAGCATTTTCACACATACATCTGACTATTATGTCCTGTGTGCATCTTATTAATTTTATGCCTGATTGTGGATCAGAACAAATCAACACCTGATAACTGACCACCTTTTCAGTGTCTCAAAGGACAGTTTTGAATCTGACATTCTATTAATACAGAATATTAGAAATCAGAATGAGTCACATTCTCTGTGCAGGCGATGCGGACCGTATTTATGCAGCTTTTCTATTCTTCCTGATGTGTGAACTCTGTTTTGCAGAGCTGTCAAGAATCCGTCACTCAAAAACAGGATTCAAGGATTCTATTTTTTGCATTCACGGGGATGAAAAATACTTGATCCTCTTGTTATGATCCTCCCTACAGGTGGAAATACGTGACTCCAAAAAAACAATCCTGCATTTTTTTATTTACTCCGCCTCAGTTCTGTAAATGTGGAACTAAATGGCTCAAAACCGATCCACAAACTATTTCACTCATATCCAGACCTGTAATACTTTAGGTATATATTCAGTTTTAATAAAAAATAATGGTGTAACAATGTAGATGTCTGTAGATACCAATCCCTCAACCCCTCGTCAGATTTTAAGTCATACCACTGGAGCCAATGTAAATAAATGAGATCTGTGAATTTTATTTTTACAACCCATTGGTATTTCTGTAATACAGAAGAGATAATCTGGGAGAAAAGAAACACAAACAATTAAATGCACATGAAACCAGACACTTTACACACAGTGGTTTAGAAGAAGGGGGTGGTTTAAGCCTTCATCTGATTGGTGCATTAAAGTTTGCAGGAAGCAGGAAGCGAAGAGCTGTTTCTGATCTGACAAAAATGACCCTGCTCACATGGAGCAAACTTGACTTAATTATATCAACAGAGACCCAAATCCAGCTGACTCAGTAATTTTGGGTTTCTTATGAAAAGCCTCAGCACTGAAAAACAGCAATTTCTCTCTTCTGTTATGAAACGTGCTGCTAATCTCTCTCTCTTTTCCCCCCACAATGGTTTTATTCTTGTCGGGGTAAAAATAACGCAAAATGTGGCACGACACCCTACAAAAAAGGGCACTGAAAATACAGGATGGAAGAGGACACAAGTCCAAGTTTACCCTGTTCATGAAGACAAAAAGCCTTTTATGGAAATGCATGCAAGATGTGGATTTTTGCAGGGAAAAAAAAAAGAAATAAATAACTGTCGAGAAGACATATGATGTGCTCGCAAAGATGTTGGGATTGATCAGGAGAGCAGGTGAGGGATGTTGGTAGTGACAGTAGTAGGGAAGAAGAGGGTGAGTTGTTTTTTTTTTTTTAGAGTATTAAAGCATATGTGTCCCTTTGTATGATAGGAAATGTCTACAACCATTTGTAACACTGAGGATGTGTGTTGTAATGAGTCAAATATACTGTAGCACAGGACATCGATAGAGAAATGACCTCTAATAGTCTCACACTCTTAGATACACAGTAATCTGATGTTAAATTCATCCTACAAGTTAACTTAATTTAGTTTTTACTGATTTTTTTTTTTAAAACAATTCCTAGAAAACAGACGTCAGATTGCTGTTGCTTTATCTTGTACCTCCTCATGGCCACCAGGGGGACAGACAAGCTAACCTTCAGCATGGAAGCCAATGCCTGGAAGTTTATTTTTGGATCCGTTTGATCCTTGCCACGTCACAAAACAGACTAAATGGACCCACAGACGCAGCAAATGGCAGCATTTACCGCTTTAGGGTGCACTTTAAATAACACAGAGGCAGGCTGAATGATAGTGATTGACTAAAGCTCATTATTGCCATGCAGTGGTCAAAACAATCCCAAAGCAACAAGCTGCCGAGTCAAGCGGCCTGCAGACTGTACAGGCCTGTTTGAACAGCTGCAGAAAAAAAAAAAAAGACAGGCAGCACATCAGCTGGCAGCGTATCACCGCTCAGGTCAAAGCTCAGTGTGTTAAAGTGTATGTTTGCTTTCACAATAGAATCTCTAACCGGTTATCACTGCTCGACTGAAACACAGCGGCTGACAATAACTTCAAGAAAAGCTATGCACTGACAAATGAACAAATACCTGACCGCAGACCAGATGCTGTTGTTCCATCATCGACATTATCTTAACACTTAGTCTGAAGTAATTCTACTTCGCTCTACAGTGAACTCTTCGAGGTATACCGACGCATTTCTTCAGTAACAACCGTAAGCTAATGCAGATGATGAAACAACCGTTAACATTCTTTATCCTCCTTCTTCCCTACAATCCTCACCACCCCGTTTTCCCACTGGAAAATCCTCCCCCATATTTTTCTCTGTTCATCTTCAGTGCTGCAGCTGTTTCATCCTGTTGAGGGCGGAGCCTGCTTTGAACCATTCGATCTGTGTCTCGTTGAAGCTGTGGTTGAGTTCCAGGGTCTCCTGGCTGCCGTCGCTGTGCTTCACGACTGCGGCCAGAGACTGGGGAGGATGAGAAGAAGTGGGGGGAAAAAAAATCCTCATTACTAGAGATGCGCCGATCCGATACTGGGTTCAGCCTCTACCAAGCAGCCTGTACGTGGGTCTCCGGCTCTGCAGACAGACCCTTCCTATTGGATCCGATCCCGCAGCAGTTCACAACGTTTTCGGCCTCATTTACTACTGTTCATGCGCAGAGTCGAGAGCGGCTATTAGTGGTACTGTTATTTAATACCAAGTTTTGGTAATTTAACCTTTAAATTGCAGCTTAATGTTGCTGTGTCATGTTGATCTGTTCTGAATATGTGAATGGCACTGAGTGCACACTGTAGTCTAACTGCAGCTCTAATAAAGCAGCTACAGTTTCACTTTGAGACGTGCTTTTGGCTGTTTTTTTCCTTTCTTATAAAAGCAAAGTCTATGCTTTAATAGTATGAGGCTTTTGATAAAGCCATCTTAAACAAATGTATCCATGCAAATAAGGTATTTCCAAAGAAGTTTAGGAGGAGAGATGGTATCGGTATCGGCAGATACTCAAAGTTGAAGTATCGGTATCGGTATCGGAAATCAAAAATTACAGATGCTGAGCACTGACAAGTATCTGTAAGCAGGTCATTTTTTCTGTGTACACTCTTACCTTTCCAGGAGTGAAGGTTTCGAGTCCTTTGATGGAGAGCTTGTCATCTGGGCGGATCTTGTCGTAGTCTGATGGGTTGCTGAAGGTCAGTGGCAGCAGACCCTGCTTCTTCAGGTTGGTTTCTATGGACATGAGAGAGATATGTTTAACTGAGACAGAAAAACTGAGGTCTGAGACTTCAAACATGCCTTGATGCAGGTAAAAAAATTATGATGGAGAATTTGTTTTACTTGGTGGAGCTCATAAATAATAATACAAACTTCGGGAAAAAAACCTCCTAAAAGGATGGGTAGTGTAAAAAAATCAGTTGACAACTCCATGTAATCGGGGCTTTGAAGACTTTTAACATATACTGAATTGTACTAAAGTCCCTCCTCATGCTGTTTAGTGTTAATGCAGTACCATGGATTCTGGCAAAGCTCTTGACAATTATGGCTCTGCCTCCCAGATGCCGGGGCTCCAGCGCTGCGTGCTCTCTGCTGGAACCCTCACCGTAGTTGTCGTCTCCAACCACGACCCATGACACACTGTTGGCCTGAATGCAACGAACCAGAGAGCACGTTAGAAGAGACTGTGTTCATTTATCTAATGTGTTGGTGGCACGTGGCTGAGTTCCTGGGACTCGAGCAAGATTACAACAACAAAATCAAGACCATAAATTAAAACTGCAATGAGCTGTAAAGTAGTGTTGTGCTACTAAAGAAAAGCAGCTCTGTCAAATGATGCAGCACCTGAACCTTTCTGTTCTGCGGTTCTCACCTTGTAGTGACGGGCCACATCAGGGACTCCTCCGTAATCTCCTGTCAGGTGGTTCTTGATCTTGTTGACAGCGTCATTCTCACTGTTGACTGCACCGATCAGCATGTTGTTGGAGATGTTATCCAGGTGACCGCGGAACTTCAGCCAAGGTCCTGCAGCGCTGATGTGGTCTGTGGTGCATTTTCCCTTCACCTACAGAGACAGATGAAGGTTAAGATAAAACCAGTTCTCGTCTTAGTGGTAAAAACAAACTCAAACAAGTTTGTATTAAGTGAGCGTACCTTGATGAGGACCCGCAGGTCCTCCAGATCCTTTCCGCTCCATTGGTCAAACGGCTCCAGCAGCTGGAGGCGGTTGCTCTGAGGGCTGACGTCCACCCTGAGGCTGGTGCCATCAGGAGGGGGGTGCTGGTAGGTGTCCTGGCCTGGGTCGAAGTCTCTGGCAGGCAGTTCGTCTCCATTAGGGGGGTCCAGCTTGAACTTCTCACCATTGGGTGCTGTAAGGTAATCCGTCTCAGGGTTGAATTTTAATGTACCGGCGATGGCGAGGGCAGTGACAATCTGAAGAAGAAAAAGAGGAGAACGGAGGCATTGAGTTCTGAAATGTCAGCTTGTGTATCTTTGGAAGTGTCACTGTGGTCGGTTTGGTGTGAGTTTACCTCTGGTGAGGTAACAAAGGCATGTGTAGCAGGGTTAGCGTCATTCCTGGCAGTGAAGTTTCTGTTGAAGGAAGTGACGATGGTGTTCTTCTCTCCCTTTTTCACATCACGCCTGAATTCAGACACAAAGTATTGAAACACAGAAGCCAACTTGAGCTGTTCTGACTAAAAGCCATGGCACAAACACTTGGCAGAGCTACCTGTCCCACTGTCCAATGCAGGGTCCACACGCGTTAGCCATAACCACACCTCCAACCTCTCCAAGGATCTTTGACTACAAGTAAACAGAAACACATTTAGGCTTCCATGACTCCACCTGGAGTCAAATCATTACAACAAGGGAGGTGCAACTGTCTCCTTTCTGCATTTGCCAGCACTCACATATCCGTCTCTTTCGATGGTGGCACGAATCTGCTCTGAGCCGGGGGTGACTGTGAACTGAGCTTTGCACTTCAGGCCTTTGTCCAAAGCCTGCTTGGCAACAGAAGCAGCGCGGCCCATGTCCTCGTAGCTGGAGTTGGTGCAGCTGCCAATCAGGCCTTAAAGGAGAAAGGAACCAAAGAGAGTTAAAGCAGCAGCTTTAGTCTCATAAAATGAGTCCTGTAATTGTCATCTGTGTTCTGTAATTCAGTTACATAAACAGAGGGAGTTAGAATACAGCCCTGCACTATATACAGCTCTGCTCAGTTCTTACCAACTTTGACCTCCAGTGGCCAACCGTTCTGTTCAGCCACAGAGCCGACATCAGACACCGGGTGAGCCAGGTCAGGGGTGAACGGTCCGTTGATATGGGGCTTCAGCTAAAGAAAGAACCAGCAGACAGGTGAATTAATAGACTGATTCGCAAAAAACTTAATTTATGACATGAACTAAACCTCTCTCTTTGCTGTACAGTACTATTGTCATGTTCCACTGTACTAGAGTAATACATATTTGAAGGACATTTTAAAAAGTTCTGCCAGCACTTGAGAGATCATGGTATTGCAGTTATCAATCAGTCAATATAGTTGCACATTTTTCACCAAGACCACAATCCAACAATCCAGCTTGTAAAAGTGTTCTTCCAGGTGTGTTATTGACATCACAGTAGATGAAATGTGTGTATTTGTTAACACACTGGCTTTGAATGGATAACAAAAAATATCTAAGACAAATAAAATTCTGAATTCTTTCTGGAAGGTTCACATTTTCTCTTGGGTACATTTCATAAGTGACCTCAGGTCAGATACATTTATCCAGTGAAACACCAAAAGATCATTTTTAAAACAGGACTTACCTCATCCAGATTGAGTTCAATGACCTGGTCATACTCGCAGCCTTTATCTGGTACCAACAAGTCTGAGTATTCATCAGCCAGAGCAGCGATCTCTGAGAATAAACATGAGGAGGTAGAAGCAGTGTTGAGACACGTCAAACTGTACAATTACAACATGAAAGTCGTTCAGGAAAATGGAAACAAATATTTCACTTCTCTAGATAATTTAAGGTGATTATATACGCTCAAATTTCCTCTACTTTTTCTATATTACAGACTTGAAATTGACTGTAATCTCCTTTATATGTGTGTAATTACTTGTCATCTATAATCAGTGGTACTGGGCCAGATCCAAACAAAGGGTGGTACCAACGAGACACAGTTTATCAGCAAGTTTTCATCACTGTGATTGTGATTTAGTGTTGTGTATTTGCACATCAATTATGAGCACTAAACTTACGTCCACGTCCAGTCTTCTCCAGGTAGGTCTTCATGCGGTGGTTGTAAGGGAACACAGAGGTTGTGGCTCCGATCTCTGCTCCCATGTTGCAAATGGTGGCCATTCCTGCACACACAAAAACACACATTAGTGAGACCTGCTGTTGATGTTTCAACACATTTTTTACTACCTTGGAAGTGCATTACCATACAAGACCTGACTGGCAAATTACAAACATGGTCAAGATTGAAACTGTCACGCTACAAAAAGCCTCTTATTACTGACCAGTGCAGGAAATAGAGTCGACTCCTGGTCCATGGTACTCCACAATGGCTCCGGTGCCTCCCTTTACTGTGAGGATGCCGGCCACCTTCAAGATGATATCCTTAGGAGAAGTCCAGCCTGAGAGTGTGCCCGTCAGCTTCACACCAATCACCTTGGATGAAAAGAATTTCATTTTTATTGCATTAGAAGAACAGAGACACAAGGAACAGCCAGTACAATTGCTTACTAAAGATGAAACAAAGAAAGACAATGAGCTAATGGGTGATAAATGCTGTATTCTGCTCACCTTGGGACACTTGAGCTCCCAGGGGATTCCTGCCATCACATCGACTGCATCAGCTCCTCCAACTCCAATGCAGATGGCACCAAGTCCACCACCGTTTGGTGTGTGGGAATCTGTGCCAATAAGCATCACTCCTGGGTAGGCGTAGTTCTCTAGGATGATCTGTTTAGGTAGACAAATCAGATTGTTACCATATTTATAGCACTTTTATTACAGCAGCTCACATTCAAGCCAAAATCGGACTCAAATTTTATGTAATAATACCTGATGGATGATTCCTGATCCAGGCTTCCAGAAACCGACTCCATATTTTGCCCCAGCGCTGGACAGGAAGTTGTAGACCTCTTGGTTGACTTCCTACACAGAGAACAACAACCACAACTCAGTCTAAAGTGCTGCGTGTCGAATTTTGAAAAGAATAAATCATTACAACAAACAAATAATGACAAATCCTCGTTACCTTCGCTCTGGCCAGATCCTTCACGCCTCCAACCTGGGCCTCAATCAGGTGATCACAGTGGATGGTGGAGGGCACAGCCACCTTCGGCAGGCCGCTGCTGATGAACTGGAGCATTGCCATCTGGGCAGTAGCATCCTGCATAGCCACACGGTCGGGACGCAGCCGCAGGTAGGTGCGACCACGATCGATATCCTGGTTGTGGGGGTCATCGAGGTGGCCGTACACGATCTTCTCTGACAGGGTTAGAGGCCGGTTGAGTCTGCAGAGAAAACATTAAACAACATTTTATTAACAAGAGTACGCAAAAAAAGAAGTTTCAGAGACAGAGGTAGAAGATAAGACTATAAGTACAGTACTAAAATAACCAATAAAAAAGCAGCTGAAAAATATATTTTTTAAAAACTACAACAACAAAAAAAAAGAAAAGAAAATTGGGCACTGTGGGTCAGGCAGACTGATCAGAGTTGGTAAAGGCTGTGATGAACAACTGTGGCAAAGGGCAAACAAACACTACAGATCAAATACTCACACAGATAAGGGAGTATTGGAGGAAACAGATGCGAGTCAGAGCAAATATAGCGTGGAGCAGACTGACCTTTTTTTCACAATGTCAACGTTGGACTGGAGCTTCTCGTAGTTGACGAAGGTAGTAGGCTCAAAGCGGCTCATAGACACTTTGGCCTTGGCTCTGTAAGCTGCTGACACATGCAGGCGCCGTGCACCATGGCCCAGTGCCAGCTGGAGACAGTAACATCACAAACATACAAGTATGAGCATAATTACAGAGCAGGGAATAGATTTTGGCCCTTTATCAAAGATTATTCCCCAACTAAAGATTTTGCAAACTTTCCAAAAGTATTGATGAAAAACAGATGAAAAGCAGGCTGCATAAATACAGTGACTATAATGATTTTGGATATGGAAACACTTCCATGATGGGAGGCAGGCCTGTGAAGGCAACGCTGTTTTGCAGTCTGCTATCAAGTGTCAGATGTCAGAGCTTCCCCGATGAACATGATGCAACAACCACGCATAAGGTCAACCACAAATACATTCTGAAGCGATGGAAACACTGGCTTCAGCCCTCCTAAACACTCGCACAAGTCTTCCTTGTCAATTTGTAATAGCCATACCTGTCAGACAGGCGACATTTAATGATTTACACATCACACCATGTGTGTGTGACCAGATTTATAGTGTGTGGAGGTCACAGTAGGGGAAGGAACAAGAGGGGTGGAGACTTGGAAAGGCATTTGTCTCCAGAAGACTGTCCTCCAACATGCTGGAATCAGCTGGTGATCAGGTGCCCTTGAGCAGGGCACTGAACCCACAAACTCACTTTCATGAAGCAGCTGAGTAGCTGCCAGGAGAAGACTGTGCTTCTACAGCTGCAGCTCTGTTTAAATACATACTATATGATTGAAAAGCAAGGAGTTTAACAGATTCTATGACTAGACAATAAACTGAAAGAGTTGCCTAACCAGGGCTGTTTTATAGCTCAGAATCCGCCTTTGGGGAGTGACTGTGCATGCCAGTACGATTGGTAAATGTACAGCAAAAAGCAAGAAGTCTACACTTTATACTAGAGTGAATTCAATTCCCAGTAACAAAACTGGTGAAGAAATAAATTTGATTTATCAGTTTTTATTGGTGCTGGCTTACAGCTCATTTGGAGGGTTTTTCCTTCATGGAGAAACCCTCCAAATGAGCTGTAAGCCAGCTCCATGAAGGAAAAACCCTGCTCAATAACAAACCAACAAACAGCTGAAGGTCTTCACTGACCAGATGATATGTGCTAAAGATTAGTTGCCATTCAGGGAAGGATCAGACAGAGAGCAGCTGAACACACAACACTTTGTCTTTTGCTGTCAAGAAGCTAGTAGCAAGGAGCTGCTGTGAATTCATTAAGGAGCAACTCACTAGTTAATGCAATAGAAATCAAATTATAGGTTTATACATCGATCACACAGTGAACAAAGTCTTCAGATTGAAGCTTAACTACTTATTAGTCACTGTCTACTGGCAAACATAATGTGCTTGTCTTCTTGAGTGGTGAGGCACTGATTTCTGACTAAACTAATACTACAGAGAGTTTCTCAAACACCTAACAGGTGCCATTATTGAGTCCAAGGTCACAAACTGGCAAACATGTGATTTTCCATTCATTAAGTTATATTGTTTTATATCAATATTCAAAGAGGATGTGGTGGTTTTACAGTCTTCTTTATCTATATCACCCAGTCAGAGGAGGCCAGAGAGTGTCCTAACAGTCAGAAGTCAATCCCAGTTCACTTTGGGTCACATACTGGGAGTTTTGACACCTGGTAGTCTATTATTATAATAAGGACAGCACTCAGCTGTTACTGTATTTATGACACACATCCTAAGTTTAAAATAGACAAAATCAATCCGTTTTTCTGGACTAATTCCAATAAATCCTAGAGAGGACTGTTTTGCTGTATTATGTGATAAACTTTAAAAGCACACGGTTCTCTGTGTGGCTCACTGGTCGCCTGTGTGCCTGCTAGGAGCTCTAACCTTGTGGTTAACCTTGCTAACACACACCAAACTCCACCGTTACAACTGGTCTAACCGTCGCCATTTAAAGTCCGTAGATATCGATGATGAATCTGTGTAAACGGAGAAACTAGCTGTGATTTATTAAACCAGTGTAAAACCAGTTGTCGCCCGTTGGATGCATTCAGAGCAGCCCGGACACGATGACCTGAGCAGCTAGCCAGTGACAGTTTCTCAGCTTATTTATACTCAGGAGCCGCTCCGAATCCTCCAACTGGGTCAGAACCGGGTTATACTGCATTTCTGCAATCTGAGGTAGCAGGTGACATTCGCTTTTGGCTAATACATGCGATTAAATGAGTGAATTTGCTGCCTTACCTGAAGCCGGGCGACAGTCAGACAGTAGGTTGCCATTTTGTTCACTGACAAAGATGTGAGGGTCGGCGGTGACGTCACGCGATTGTAAGCCTTTTTCTTCTTCGTTGGTTTTCGGCCGCAGAACTACTTCCTGTTGCTGCCACCTGTTGGAGCTTCTGCAGTTCAGCCTCCTGGACAGCCTTTTTCCCCCACACAAACAATTCCCTGTTATTTTACAGATTTACCCCATTTTGTTAAGACACTGATTATTTAATATTTGTTTATTTATGATATTTAATGTCTATTTTGTTTGTAAATATGTACATAAATAACTATGGGAGTGGCGTACTGAGTGACTGATGGTCCAGATGGAGAAGGGGTAGGAGTAAATAAGCTTATGCTTCGTCCTAGTCCTTTTCGGATATGGTGGCTTATTAGATGTTGCTTTGTTTTGTTATGTTTTTTCATTTTGTTGATGTTTTGAATATTCTGATTTGTAAATAATGTCCACATCAAGATCATATTTTTAAAATCTAAATTGTAATTCATTCTTTTACAATGTGTTTTAATCAGCAGAGAATATTGTTATTTTACACATATTTTTAGTTATTTGAAAGCAAACTATGTATATAAGGGACAAAAAAAGAGAAAAAGAAATTCAACTGTGAATTTACAGATTTTCCCAGTTGTTGTTATAAATTGCAGCTGATATCTAGCAAAATCACAGAAAAAGTATATTAATTTACAAATTGACTGTAAAGAAAAAGAAGAAATAGTCTCAAACTGTCACAAATATGTATTATCACAAAAAGTAGTTTTATTTTTTATAACATGTGATCGTAAAATGATGTTTAGCTTATTTTATTATGCTGATATTTTATTGTACTGTTTTAAAAATATCTTTATTTTACAGATATGTGCTTGCTTGCTTTTTTTTTTTCTAAATAGTTTTTCGAAAGTTACAGAATTACGCTGTTTTTAAATGTAGTTTTTCTGGCACATTTGCTGCTTGATTTTCATTGTCTGTTTTCACAGATTTATTTTTTTTTTTAATTTTTTTGTTAACAGTGCACTTGTCTCCTTACCCCATAGTTCAATCTGGCCGCGACGATCACTATAATATGAACTACGTTGCTCACAGTATCGTGTCTTATGTAGCCATCATTGCCTCCTCTCTCTCTTTCCTCTTTATATTTAAATTTATCTTCCTACTATAAAATTACACACTCCATCTGTGCCCTTTCTTGCTTCAGCAAATGTAATTTCAAATCTACCAATACAATTTCTAGTTACAAGCATTATAGGTCATATAGGATTATAGTACAAATCTCCTTTTTATATTCTCCCAAGTCTTTTGCAGCTGTAGCCTTTATACAGACTACAGACATAACTTGACTGTGGTGTTCTCTTCCTTCTCTTAGCACAACCTCCATTCATCCAACAGCTTCAAACAAGTTGTTTTCTGTGTAAACACAATGGCTTTTATTCTGTCTCTACTGTAAACTACACAGAACACACAGGTGAACTTTTTGCTGCTGCTACACATAATCTTAGAGTCTGTGTCTGCATCATATCTATCCTTGCGAACATGTTTTTGATGTTGATCCATAAACTGCACCTATGTAATCTGGCCTCAGCACATTTCAAGATTTGTTTTTAATTTATTTTTTTCCTTTTCCACCCTTTTAAATAAAACATTTAGAACAATAGTGAGGGGGAAGAAGGCAACTGATGCTGTTTGTTTTAATTATATAATGCTCTCATTGTTTTTTTTGTGAGTTAAAGGATAAAAACCTATAAATAACTTGTTAAAAGACGGATAAAGTCAGTTCCTTAGTCCAACACCACAAGACATTACATCACAACACTTTACATTTTATGACTGTCCTTTTTATATGTAGTGATACAAATTTTCAAAAATATAATTTGTCATAACTTACAATAGGACTTATAACACTCTCCTAAGTTTTCTACCACGCACTTGAGTGGATAATTCTCTTATTCAGAAAGTCTATTGTCCATTTTTAACTGTTTTTTCAAATTTCCATTTAATATAATTCAGTCAGAAGACACTGTTTACGAAACATCTGAACTTTAACTTGTTCTTTCCTGAGTTCATTCTCTGAACATAACAACTCTCACCTTCCCTGAAGTAACTCTGACACCCTGCAAGTAGATCCAGTTTCTCTGAATAATACATTATTTATTTATTTATTTATTATTTATTTACCATTTGTTACATCACTTCACATGTGTGAACTGATGTATTATTTGTTGGCTTACACTGAATGCATCCTTCCAAATAATCACCTCCATCCAATGCCATGCAACCTCCACACTTTATTATATAGCATTAATAATATACCATTAATAGAATCCTTCAGTTTGTTAATGTGTTTCTTTTCACTGTTTTGCTTCCTTGTACTTCAGTTGTCTTTTCTTTTCACACAGTTTTCTGTTTCTACTCCACAATATTTAAGAAGTATATATTGTACTATTCAGTTTGCTTTATTTATCTGACAGCTTTAGTCACTTTTAATGACTCAACAGTACAAATAGAATGTAAACAGTTATTTGAATGATCAGTAAGTCATTTGATAGAAATTAACTGGTAGTTATTTTGATCATCATTTGTGTAATTTTTGAGGAAAATGTGTCACACATTTCATATTTCCAGCCTCTCAAATGTAAAGACAAACTTTTTATTAATTTGAAATTATTAAAGTTTAGCGTGTTGGTTGGAAGAAAATCAGCACTATGAAGGAGTCACTTGGGTTCTGGGCAACTATGGTGGAATTTCTGAATTTTAGCAGAAAAAGAAAATAATTAAAAAATGATCAAGAGATTAATCCTTAATAAAAACACATATTAGTTGCCGGCCTGTACATAGCAGGTAAACCCTGACTGCACTGTAGCCAACCACAATGCTGCTTTTACATTAAAGTTTAATAACAGTAATCTCATATGGTGGCAATTTTCTATTGAATAAAATTGGTCAAAAAGGTTTTTGTTTCTGTTTGTTTAATTCAGCATCTGCAGACGGAGTCATAAATAAACAGTCAAGTGAATGAGCTGAGTGCAATGAGCATCCTGGAAAAAGGGTTTTATACAATCAAGAGCACATGTTATTTATAATCCTTAGCTGGTAGCTAAAACAGTGTCCTTGAAAATCTTCATATGCACCTTCACTGTGAAGTGTGCGAGAAAGCAGTAAAGTGCCTTTTCACAACATGTAGGTTTCTCATAGACCGTAACAGGTTGGCAAAAGGTTTCCTGTAGTTCATTAATGACCATTACATGTGTTTAATTAGTCATTTCCATCACATATAGTATATAGCAGTCACAGGTGGAATTCCTCTGCAGTGAGTAATTTAAGTATGTTTTCCTGGTTGTACTTAACAACTGTGCACTAATTCTAGATCCACCAAGACCCAAGCACCCCTCTGCATGCTTGTTATTTTTATTATTACACTGTATACTTGTAGCAGCTACTTCAAACAGCACTGGCAGCCACACTGAATCACAGGAGTGCAAGGTTCCTCACACTGAAGACCAGGACAAAGTAATCCATTTAAGTCCATTTATTGCCATCAAAAACTTAACATTACATGTCCACATTGTCCACAGATAAAAAGTCTATGTGCTCCCACACCGATAGCTCATTCAACGTCACAGGCATCCTTTAAAGGGGAGGATCTTACCTTTGCCCAATGTAATATCGTTTTTAAATTACATTATCAACTAAACTTTATCTTAAATCAGTGTTTATATTTTTAAGTTAGATTTTACTCTGAGCTTTTAACACAGGAAATTTCTATATTTTTAACCAAAATAATATTGAAAGTTTTTAGCTATTTTATCCTTTTTCTTTTTTACTGTATATGGCTCTCACAATACTTTTTTATTGTACCACCACGATCTATATTTTCTTTCACCCTTGCACATTTTTCCTAAATGTAACATGTGAGCTTGATTTTTCCCAAGGGTATTTATAATCTATCTATCTATCTATCTATCTATCTATCTATCTATCTATCTATCTATCTAAACATGTTATTTATCATAACTCATGGTAGGACTGAGAACACTCTCTTGAGTTTTCTGCAGCACACTGGAGTGGATAATTCTCTTATTCAGAAAGTCTAACCCTTTCCTCAAATTGCCATTTATTATACTTCAGTCAGAAGACACTGTTTATGAAACATCTGAACTTTAACTTGTTCTTTCCTGAGTTTATTCTCTGAACATAACAACTCTCACCTTCCCTGAAGAAACTCTGACACCCTGCAAGTAGATCCAGTTTCTCTGAATAATACATTAGTCTTTTATTTACCATGTGTTACATCACTTCACATGTGAGATGTTTAGATCAGTGATGTATTCTTTGCTGGCTAACACCACCTGCATCCCTCCTCCTCACCACCTGTCCTCCGGCCGCCGGGTGGCGCTGCAGCTTCTCCTCCAGCAGGTTTCAGGGGTTGAAGGTTAAAGTTGAACCGAGCCAGCAACGCTCTCCATTCGTTAGCGGACCATGGCTAAGCATCACCCAGATCTGATTTTCTGCCGAAAACAAGCCGGTGTCGGTATGTTTCAGCTTTTTTCACTCTTTAATGCGCTCCCTGGTTGTTTCTGCTACAGCGGAACGTCTCTGTCGGTGTTTAGCTAACATTAGCTGCTAAGCTAACGACTCCGGCATGGACTTCATTGAAAGTGTGCTAGCTGCTGTGTGTAGCCTGAAAGGTCCACTAGTCTGTGTGCTCTGCTGGCTAATGCTACTGTTACACAGTATACTGCCTAAATGTGTTTAATGACGGATATTTTAAACAGAAGTATATAAATGGTTAGTTAGGCTAATATAGCAAAGCGACGTGCGTTAGCATAACTCTGACTCTGCTTTGTTTTCATCCTGCAGCTATCGGGAGACTCTGCGAGAAATGTGAGTGTTTACATTTATGATCAATAAATCTGACAGTGTTTAAAAGTTAGTTTTAAAGTTTGTCTTGATTCTTCCTTTTCATCTTTAACAGCAATCGTTCTGTACAAGATTTAAATGAGCTGTTTTCACTGTTTTGCACAACCTCCATAACCCAGTAATGATTATTATCTAAAAGGGGATGTTTGTTTCCATGTATTACACTATTAATTACCTATTTTACAGTCACACGATTACTCTGTTATTTGCTACAGAGTAGTTAAGGTGATAAATAAAAGATAAAACATGCAATCAAATAACTCAAAATTCAACCCTAAAAATAATACATTATAAATGCATTATAGTAAACCTCTAAATGGTTAATAGAACAAACTAGAATAAAATAAATAATTGTGAGAATAAAAAATCAAATAACTGTAAATACTAAAATTATAGGTCAAACTAGATATATGAGTTCTTAGTTGAGGTTCAAGGTCTGCTCATGTGTGCACTTTTCATTGGCTGTTGGAAAAATAATCAGGACTCCTGACAGGTCTTTATGCTTCTTTTTTTATGGACTAAACCATCAATTAAGCTGAACAATGTCCAAAAACTCTGTGACCATTTTGACAGATACTTCAATATGGGTCACAATTTTAGTGAAAATGATTAGTTTTCCTTTTTTTCCACTGGAAAAAAACAACAACAACAAATAATGATTTTATGATGCAGTCTGTGCCAAACAAGGCCATTCCCCTACATCTGGATAATATGATTTGTTGGCCAATATGCTTCTGTGGCACGACAATGCTTCATTTGTAACTGGATTTTGTGACAAATTTGGGCTTTATCAAAAAAATGCATTTCTTGTGATTTGAGTTTTGCACATGGTCATGTTATCAAATTGATTGATTGATTGATTGATTGTTGTAGTTTTGATATTAGTTAAATTAATTGTTCACCCCCCTAATCAAAAATCTTTAAACTGATCTGAATTTATAATAGATTAAAATGTTTGTGGCTAAATTGCTTTAATACATTACCAAATGAGAACATTTCTTTCTAAACGTGACATCAGTGTAGAGGAAAGAATAGTCTCAACCTGTGAAAATACTGGAATCAGTCAGACATGGCTTCAACAATCATTTTGTTTTTGTTGTTTCTTAGCGATGAAGATTTTGTTGCTTTTACACCAAAAGAAACATTTCATCATCAATAAAGGTGTAAAAAACTATTTCTTATTTATTGTCTGTTTTGTTCATGTTCCTGTATCTCCTCTGTCCTCTCCCTGCTCCTCCCAGGTGATGGAAAGTGTGTCATCTGTGATTCCTACGTGAGGCCGTGCACGCTGGTCCGCATCTGTGACGAGTGTAACTACGGATCCTATCAGGGACGCTGTGTCATCTGTGGAGGCCCCGGTGTTTCTGACGCCTACTACTGTAAAGAGTGCACCATCCAGGAGAAAGATGTGAGTATCATTCTCCTCATTGCATCTTTTTTACTTTGCCTCCGAACTAAAGCAAAGAGAGGCTGTTAGAGGATTTAACAAGGACTGTGTTTGTGAGATTCTTAGCTTGCATTAATTACTATGATCGAGCAAGCCTTCAAAAAATAAACAGCACTTAGATTTTAAACTGAACCCAGCTGTGCTGCTCCTTCAAAATGAAAACCTTTTCTAAACAGTTTTCTCCTTTTGTTCTCTCTACAGCGAGATGGGTGTCCAAAGATTGTAAACTTGGGCAGCTCCAAAACAGATCTGTTTTATGAAAGGAAGAAGTATGGCTTCAAGAAGAGGTGAAGACACGATGGCCCAGTCTTTGTCTTAGTTTTTCAGATTTTCTTAAAAACTTCCAAGAAACATTTTTTGACTTGTCAATAAAGCTCGCTTTTATATTTCTGTTGTAATTTGTGTGTGCCTGCTTTCAATTTTTAAATGTTGGAGACTTTGATATAGTCGGTGATGAACATTTATAATAAAAAGTCACTAAACACAACACAGTGGTATCAAGTGTCCTCACCACATTAAACTAAAACAAGCATCATGGAGTTTCAAAGTTATTGTCTTTACCTTTACAATGATACGTATTGTGGAGCTTTTTGATCACACACAGAGTCTTTATCAGCAGATGCCAGCTGCCATAGAAATTATGTTAAACTTTCACTGAATACTAGAAAAACATTTTGTCCATTTAACAGAAATGGCTTTTCATTATGAACAGAGGTGAAGTTTCTGTGCACTAAACACTGAGCTGATCTTTGCTTACAGTGATTAGATCTGAGTCACTTTGCATCCTGATGGCTAAATGCCAGTTTAACATACCGTAAATTCCGGACTATTGAGCGCATCTGAATATAAGCTGCACCCACGACCTTATAAAAGAAAAAAAAAAGTGTACATATATTGTCTATAAGACGCAGGTAAACTTTTAATTCCATACCAACCAGTAACTTACAGAAATGAGCACCATAAATGCTTTTTCCAAACACATGGCTGGTAACGAAAATAAAAACAGTAGAAAAGTCACTGATCGCTGTCTTCATCAATGCGTTCTCTCATGGCCAGTTGTTTTCAGCGTGACGGACGATTCACCTTTTTTGTTAACGATCTTCGTAAGAGACAGGTCAAAGGTACTTGATCCACATTTATGATGTCCTCTGGTCCCATGGATTTCTCTGCTCTCTTTGTTTGGGTGAATTTGCGGAAGTGTATAACTTTTTTCCCTTGGTAGTCAGGAGGGAGTTGCTGAGTGGTCCGTGCCCTGACGCTGAGGCCTTTTCGTCTCAGGAATCTGGAACACCACGATGGTCCTCCTCTAAAATCTTCAATCTTCTTTTCGGTGGCGATTGTTCTGGCTTTCAGTCGGATCTGCAAAAGGGAAACACCTCGGCCGTTTGCTCTCTGTGTGTTCACCCAGGCTTCAAGAGCGTTTTCAAGTTGGGGCCATCGGCATTTATTCCCTCTGAAAGCTTTTGTTGTCTTGTCGCATTGAGCCAGTTCCCCACGCTGCCATCTCCACCGTCTCACCATCGATTCATTGACGCCAAACTTACGTGCAGCAGCTCTGTTTCCTTCTTCCACAGCCAGAGCGACCGCCTTTAGCTTGAAAGCTGCATCATATGCTTTTCTTCGTGTGTTTTCCATGATCACGGTGTGTGCATGAAGCGCAAAATGACTGATTGGAAAATTTTTAGCGTGAGTCTCTTTGGTTTAATTCAAACAGTTTCATTGGTCCACTGTAACCTGTTCGGTAATTTCATTGGTCTGATGTGACGAGGCTAAATGTTTTGGCGGCATGAAGCTCGTTACCCCGTAAATATCCATCATTGTATAAGCCGCAGTGTTCGAAGCGGCGGCCTATAGTCCAGAATTTACGGTAATGAGCTGTGTCAGTGAAAGCCGATCCAGTTTCCTCTTATCTCCACATCCTTCACCAGCTGAGAGTTGAACCTTTGCATCATGTCCTGTACTCACACTGGCTTGCATGTGAGCTGTGACTATTATTGACCTCACAATCTAAATACTAACGTGTTTTGTGAACCACAGTATATTCGCCGGTTCGCGTCCCGGTGGGGGCACCGGGATCTTTCTGTGTGGAGTTTGCATGTTCTCCCCGTGCAGCGTGGGTTCTCTCCGGGTTCTCCAGCTTCCTCCCACACGGTCCAAAAACATGCTGAGGTTAATTGGTGATTCTAAATTGTCCGTAGGTGTGAATGTGAGTGTGCTTGTGTCATACAGTCGTCCTCAAATGTATTCATAATAAAAAAATCAAAATTCACAATCGTCACTCAAATAATTAGAAACTGAAAAAAGTAAGAATAAATAAAAACTTGCTAAATTACAATTTAAGAAAATACGACATTGCTTTTTGGGTAAAAATAATAGTTCAAAAAAAAAAAAAACACTGTTCCAGACATTTATATTGATCACTTTCTAAAACCTCTTCACCAGTAGAACTGGTGGACCTGTTGTACTTGATATCTTGGATTTCAGAGGTGCAGCTAATGAAGTGGTCAGCGAGTGAAGGCATCACACAGAGACAGAAAACTTTGGAGTCAACATGTACAAATACATGAAACAATAGCACTAAATCTAATATTACAGCCGGTGAAAATAGAAAAATATGCTATTTTCTGTTATTAATAATTATTTATCAATCTGGCATTTAAAAACATTATACATAGTTAAATTATGTAAATAATAAAGCACTTTAAATGCTTTATATAGCCACGATGAATATTAACACTTTCACATAGACAAATTTTGAGAAATGTAAAAGTATTCTTCTTGGGAAAATGTAGTAAAAATCCCCCCAAAAAGTGTTGCTTTTTGTTTGTTTTTGTTCTTGCTCTACAGCGGTATTCAGGAAAATTTGTAACAGGATTAAATATTGTCTGGCTAAAGATAGAACTATAACAATACTACTACAAACGATCACAATGTGGTTGCAAAACAGTGAATGTTAATCTTTTAAAACAGATTTTTTTGTGGGTAAACATGATTTATTTCTTGGATGTTCAAATTTTTTAACCAAATCTAGTGAAAAATAAATGATTGGTGAGGCCTTGGAAGAACAGTGGAAATAACTAAATTTGGTTTAGAGAGGCAAAAGCATTTGGAGTTTAAGATTTTGCAAGTTTTTTTTTTTTTTAGTTTTTAAAAAAAAAATAAAATCCATTATATGAAGTGGGAGGTTTAGGTGAGCTAGTATGGAATGACCTTTATGCAAGTTGGGTGCTCTGTGGTTTAGCTTACAAAGCCTCTGGACAAGAATCTCCACAGCATCACCAACAATCAAAGACAGTTTCTGACCTTATGACCTTTCATCCCACACTGGAGTTAATGTTGAACGAAGGAGCATCTCAATCAGAAAAAAACAACCCCAAACACTTCTAGACTTCTGTCAGCAAGGCTTTAATTATACATACTCTATATACAAAGACACAAAAGATGGCCACAATCAAATGCCAACATGTTTCCTTACAAAGAAATACAAAGACGTAACCAGGAAGAATAAAAACAACCCTCAGAAGATAACAAGTTGACCTGTTTCAGAGAGAAGGCAGATGCAGCCTTCGTTAGAACAGACTTTTTATTTTAATTAAAAGTTTACCAGAATTATCCCGAAAAATAAAATTCATAAATGACACTTCAAGACACCTTATTATGGATAACGTCACTTAAAATTATTAAGGTGAAATTAAAGAGTTAGTGGAGTTTAAGAAGCCTGAAATACTTCCACAAAATCCTGACTTATAGTTTTACTTCATGTGACTGTGCTCATTATTTTCCTCCTTGTGTAACATTCGGCACACATGGAACCTGCTTCACAACATCACATTTGTTTTGAAAAGTAAAAAGTTATTGTGAGTGGAAGCACAGCAGTAAAAGAAAAATGGCTTTCCCTTATCGTCAGAACTGGACAGTTGAGCCCCAACTGTGATTTTTGGATGTAATGTTACATGATATATATCCCCTGTAAACTGGCAGACTGCTTTGAAATGGCTTTAGACGTAGAAGACACTTACAGATTTAAAGGTTTCTTATCTATGAACGAGATGCCTCAATACAGTCTGTATTATTGAGACTTCCAGGTTTCTAAAAAAATGTCTGTTAGCAACAGATAGTCAGCTTATTTATCAGAGAGAGAATCAACAAGTATGACAGACAAACATGAAGACGATGGAGTGTTAGCTCCTCACAGAGAGGCAAGCTCAGCTTTCAGGGAATCTACAGTTGCATTGCTCGATTATTTCCCGAAGCTAAATGAAAGGTTATTGAAAAACTTAACCAAGATTTGTATCTGGATTTTAATGTCCTATGATACTGAATACATTTTTAAATGATTTTCTAAAAAACAAAAATGTCCACAAAGCATTATCTTCGCCTACAGTTATTTACAGAACATGCATCAGTGGATTCTACACAAGACACTTCAGAAGCGCTACTGACATAAATGAACAAGCCGACACCGCAGACCTGCAGAGAGCAAAGCAGGCGTCTGACTTGCTGACAAACACGGCACCAGAGCGACAGAAAGACGTACATTCAGACAGGGAGAACAGAGCGTCTACATACAGCCCTGCGCCGCTGGTAATGAATGCTTGTACATGAAGAGAACATGGCTACATTTTTTTTTTTTTTTTTTTGCCACGTCACTGAAATCCCCTGAAGAAGCTAAAGACAAGACACTACAGGCAAAAACTGAATTTTTCACGCACTGGTCAATTTGGAGATTTTTGGGATAGTTTGCTTCCATAGCAGGTCTTCTTTCAGAATAGTGCAAAGAAAATGTCAAAAATACCCATTTGGGTATTTAATGATTTTGTCTATTGGACGCAAATTAGCATAATTTTATGAGATAATATCTCATTTGCATACTTACACAAAACATTTCAGGGAACTTGTAAAAAAGAAAAGTTGTCTTAATGAAAGTAATCAAATGGGGAAGTTGTTGTCTGTTGGTTTAAATTTTACGAGCCTGCTTTTCCCAATGACAAACTCTAAGGCAGAAGTCTTAACTTTGGTGGCGCTTACATACAACAAACTTTCCAGTTTTTAGGTCCACCTATGTTTTTCTAGAGGGGATTTGCTGATACATCAGTCACAGCCTGATTTATAGAACAGAGTAGTCCCAAAAACATGTCAAAGTTTATTTTTTTTCTGGCTGTTGACGGTATTTTCTGATTAATTAAGTGCTAAACAAAAATAAAAATACCCAAAATTCCCTCTCAGAAAAACAAAAAGCTACTATCTTCACTGAAATCATCAAACGGGGATGTTCCATGGTGATATCAATTAGTTCCACATTTACTCTATTCACCTGTAGTGTCTTGCTTTATGTTATTGGAAATGTCACAGTCAAAAGTTTTTGTGGGCAAAGAAAAGCCCCGCTCTTCACAAAAATCTGCCACATAATCATAGATATTTGAAAAATAAATTGGACAAGTGGTTTTCAGAATTCATTTAAGTACTGAAAACAACTGGAAGATACCTGCAAACCGTAGTAGTGACTCATCTAGTCTAAACTAGTGCATCTTGCTACCTAAATATCGACTATTTAGTTTAAAAACGTAAAATAAAACCCAGAGTTTCTCCAAAATTTACATCACAGATGATGTCTTTCGGCCACAGCTGTACAAAACATGATAAAAGTGCACGTCATAAACGAGGTGCACTGAAGAAGCACTTGAATATCCTCTCACACTCTTCTCGCTCACATAGATGGTAAATACACTTAACGATAAAAAAAAAGAAAGAAAAAGAAAAGCCAGATATTGATATCTTAACATGCCATCACATCTCCATGGCAACGCCAGTCCCGCCCTCACACATGCTCTCCGCCTCTTCATCCTCTTCTTCATCTGATCGATTCTAGCGCTCCCATTTACCATTTATTCATGTATTGATTTATTTATTCATTGGAAAACATAAATGAATAAATCAATTGCCGCCTATAGGTCATCTGGCACCGCACTTGAAAGAGAAGAGAACAAGGATGAATGACAGTAGAGGAGGAAGGGCGAGACGCCAATATTAAAGCAGGCCAACACTACGTACAAGACCTCAGCTAAAGCAACAACTCTGAAGGCTGGTTTGGTGAAATCAATCAGGAAATTCTATTACTGTAAAGTAGATTATTCAACATGGAGGTCTGTTGTATATGTATAATCCATATTCTGCAGCTTAAACTGTCCTTTCATTTCCCTCTGCCTCACTCTTTCATGTTCTTTCATACAGGAACAAGAGGGCATGGCGCTATGTTACCCAACACGCAGTCAACCCACATCTTATCCACTCACATGTCACTTTTTAATTCAGAGACTCTATTATGTAACTGTAACTCTATACATGCTATTCTGAGGAAGTCGGGAAGCCAATAATTATATTGTCATTCCGTATAGAAATATGTGTTCACTAGAGCCAGTGTCTCACCCATATCTGGTCGCATTTATCAGATCACACACTGTATGGGTCTTGTAAGGTTATTACCCTCCCTCCTCCTCTGTCTAACTCGACCCCAACACAACACCCAGGTAGCGTCTTTTCAGCAGTACAGTAGTTGTGGTATCTGCCAACACATCTAACAATCAGGGCTGAATAATGTCTGACTTGTGAAGACAAATAACAGATTTTGTGTTGTCTGCCATGTGGATGTCCATTTACACTTTGATAAATTGGGTTTGTTTTTTTTAGGTCCCTTACAGCGTTCCAAATTTGGCTTCATAGCGACCCACAACGTTCTTGAACCGGCCGCACTCCTTCCGAAGCTCAGCCACCTCAGACCGCAGCGCCTCGTTCTCGCGCTCCAGGAAAGCCGCTCGGACGGTAATCTGGTTCTCCTTTAATCTGCGGGCGTCGCGCGAGCGTTTGGCAGCCACGTTGTTCTTCTTCCTCCTCTGCCAGTATTTCTCATCCTGTAGTATGAGACAGGAAAGAAGCAGATTGGACTGAGTCGCAGACACACCAGAGCCTACCTTGCTTTCTTAACTCAGTCACTAAAGTAACCCAGTGTAACAGTTTAATGGATTCAATCGATGTACATTAGCCCAATTCTGAACTCAATTAAGTTTATAATACGGCTGACTGCCAAGCTGCTTTGTGTATGGAAACAATACCAGTACTCTCTGGTGGCCTCGAAAGGAAGGAAAACATCAGTTTGATGTAAGTTATCAGACTGCTGAGTCACTGTGAGTTGCCAGAACTCAAATGGCCTTATTTTGACTCTGCAAGTCAGACACTCACATGCTTGTGTCTACTGCCCTGATAGCACTGCTGTGCTGGGAAACTGGCTGATGAAATCACAAGGCAATACAACTGCTACGTTCTATTTCTTTAAGGAAGCATGATTTTACAACATTACATTTCCAAGACTTTTTTCAGTGTGTTCTGAGGTTGGTAACCCAGTTTTTGGTGCACATTACTTAGTGTTACAACCACACTCATTTAATAGTAACAAAAAGTTACAGCACTGAGTAAGTTAATGATCCAATTACACATGAGTAATAACAGAAAATACTTCAAAATCCTGCCAGATTTAATGACTCTCAACATGGTCTTCTAACATTGTAAGAAGACAAACACACTTTCCTTTTTTCCTAATATTACACCTAAACATGTAACATTTGTTAAAAGAACTAAAGGGTTCAAATTCTGATGCATGCTGGTCTAATCACATTAAAATATGAATTCACGCTTGCTTTTCTGTTTCAGTGGTTTCCTATACAACATACAATGAGGCCTACTGCTGAACTAAAAGTAAGCGTTATGGTCTTCCACATTCCTCTCCCAGCATACCTTCTGTTCCTCAGGCACAAACACCTTCTTGGCCTTTTTAATCATAGGCTGCGGCTTGAGCTCCTCCTCGCTGAACTTGTGTTTGCGTGGGTCGAACAGTTCACCTCCAGGCACACTTGACAGGACCAGGTCTGTAGGATCGGGGTCATAGTTGATATCGACTTCGATTTCCTCGGGGGTGATGGGCTCTGGGGTCGCTCTGTCGCTTTCAGTGATCACCTCTGAGCAGATAAGACACGAAAAATGAAATGTTAGATAGCTGCAGATGAAACCATCAGCACCATGGCAAAAAATTAGGTGGTTTCTGTATAACTGGTAAATAAAGAAGTAATGCTGGTTCCCATGTGACTTGGACTAGTATTACCTTTCGTGAATTCCACTGAGTATGGGGGGGTGGCTGGGTGTTCTGACATCCATGTACAGGCTGCTGATAATCTTGTTTTAAACTCTACTATCTCCACTGTGCACATGTTCCTATATCTGCTGTCCCATCAACTACTACCACCGCCTCTCTCAAGAATAAACGACAGTCTGTGATCACATCAGTGTCACAGCTTATCATGTTTGCCTGACATCTGTGTGAGAGCAATATCAAATACAGAAAATTGATCGTAATACAGAAATTGCTAGCAGAGATTTTAATCTCTGACCTGATCTACATGATTAATCTTGCTTGAGATAAAACTAATCAGAAGTAATGGTACGCAAGTAAAAAGGTTGTCCACTGCATTAACAGCGGCACATCTAAATCTTCAGTGTGTTTTTAAATGTAGCTCTGAATGATGAAACTAATATCTAAAACTCTACCCCCCTTCCACATCCACTTACCTGCAGTAACATCACAGGTGATATCAGAGTCGCTCTTGGTGATGATCAACACCTCCCCCTCACACTTGTCCAACTCCTGAATAGGCAGCAGGGCCACCGGAGACACCCTTGCTGCCTTGGTAACCTTGGTCAGAGCAGAGGGAGTAGCCTTTGATTTCTCGGTCTTCACTACATCTCCCTCTGGGCTGCTCTTTAAGGAGTCCTCGTCAGGTGACGTGGGGATGCCGTTCTCCATGAGGAACTCCTCCAGGTCCATGTACTCCAGGTGGAAGGTCTCGCCATCATAGGGAATGGTCTTGTCCCAAATAGCAGGAGTCAGGGCGGCTGAAGGACCCATGTCACTGCCTCCTACACCCAGGTCCACACTATCTCCCAGACACAGCTTCTCCTTGTCGGTGTCTAAAATGGTAAAGGCACACAAAAACATACTAAGAATAGTTTGTTTTCTCAAATACAACATGCCTCTGACATGACGCACAAGCAGAAGGTATTTGTGTGTCAAAGCTCATGGAATCAACAACAAGCAGTTTAACCTCTTCTGAGAAGGAGAAGGGGTTTGTTTCTTCATTGCAAAGTGACCCTGTCCAGAAATGTCCTTCATGTCACAAACCCACCCACTGGAGTGCAACAAAACATCTCAACTATGCAGAAAAGCTGTAATTTGGCGAGGTTTACGGCTCTGTCGATTTTAGCACCACATTCTTTAGTGCTCACAAATTGTTTGATGTTTATTGCAAATGTGGAAAACTTTGATTGGACTCCCAAACACTTAAGTGTTCATAAAACCAACTGTAACATATGAGCAATCTAAACAGCTACAACAATAACTACTAATGACAGTAATAAAAACAATGCACATGATAAAATATGGCTATAATTCAACCTCATGGCTCCACTGAAATGTTTACTGAGGACAATATATGGTTTCACCACAGTGAAAACTAGAGTGTGGATTAATGTACTTTCTCGATTAATCTATTAGTTGTTTGGTCTATAAAATGTCAGAATATTTTGGATCAGTTTTTGCCCAGAACGACGTCCTTAAACGCCTTGTTTTGGCCGCAACCCGAAGATATTCAGTTTACTTTCATAGAGGAGTAAAGAAACCAGAAAATATTCAAATGAAAGGAGCTGGAATCACAGAGTTTGGGCTTCTTTCTTAACTAACTACTCACGCAGACGAGCTGATTATCAAAATTGTTTGCGATTATTGTATTAGTTGTCAGTTAATCGATTAATAGTTACAGCTCTAGTGAAAAAATGGCATTAAAAAAACAACAAATAGTCCAATTAATGATATTTCGAGTTTAACAACATTTGCCACTGACATCTTTTCGCACACTTTGTACACTTTTCGTTAAAAAAAAGTTACTTCCACCGAAGTATGAGCTCACTGTAATTGAGGAAAATGTTGTTTTGGTCAAGACAAACTAAATTTGAAGCAAAAGCTTCTGGATTACTCTGGAAAAGTCCGGATGGTGAGTTTGGGGACACGGAGAGGAGAGGAGAGGCCGGTGTACATTGTGTCCAACACGGTTAGCAGCAGGTTTACACTAGTGGGTGTCCTTGCAGATATACTAACACAGTCAGCACCCACCGGATCCGCCCTGCCACAATGTTGTGATTAAATCTATTTTATTGCGTGTTTTTGCCCCTTTTTTTTTGTTTTTGTTTTTTTTTTTTCATCAGCCGATCTCGTTTTTAACCTCTCGCGGCTTCCTCTCCGTTAGTTTCCTGCTCTTACCGTCGTCGCCATCCAGTATGTTCGGCGGAGGCATTTCCATTATTTTCTTCAAAACCACCGGGAATGTGCTGGGAGCCCCGGAGGCCGTTTCCAGCGTGATGAGAACAGGCTCTCCCGACATTTTTTTCAACCTCTTGTTGTTGTCACCGCGCAGTAACTACAAAAGAAGCTTGTTAGCTCGTTAGCTCTCCACCAGGGTTCTCCGCCGTAAATCCGCAAATAAAGCACTAGAGGTTAACTTCTACCGTCAGAGCATCCGAAACAGCTCTCCTCGTCGGTCCACTTCGTCGGTAAATTCGGTAGTCAGGAGGTTTTGGTTCCGAGAGCAAACCGCACCTCCCATTCAAACATGTCCGCCCTGCTTCGCGCTAATTGGCGAACTGGACCTCAGCTCATTAATATTAATGAGGAACTGACAGGGGGCGGGGATTAGTGCCGACAGCTGGGCTCTCATTGGTTGACCGAGTTATATACGTTCCAGTGAATACATTAGAAAGAAACGTGCCACGAGTTTCAGCATTGACCTAATACTGTTCTGACCTAAAATCAGAAACCTACAATGCGTTTATTTGCTTAATTCACTGTACTGTAAGTGATTATGAAATGGCATGAACATTCAAACATCGACTGACAGATTTTAGTGCAACTTTCACCAAGATATGATTCGTATGGACTCACTTAATATGCCAATACATATGTTTGTTTTTTTTTACATTGTCGTCAGAAATGACTCTTTAAAAAAACTAGCAACTTCATTTTACTTTCAACCTCTGAAAAAAAAGCACCTCAAAAAGTACCGGCAGCACATATGTGTCATATGTGTTGATGCGGCTGCAACGCTCACATGCGAACCCACGTGCAGCTGCAGCCTTACATATACAGTTTCCGCCCACCGAAGCAGCGCTGCGACTGTCATCCACTTGCAGGGATATGCAGCAAGGGCGGCGCTGCAGAGCCCAAGTGTAATTGGTCATACAGAAGTAGCACCTTGAGGTTTAAGTTACAGTCATTTTTGGAGCAGACATCCCAAGGGCAAAGATCTGCAAGATCCCCAGGGAGGCCAGGGTCACCATAACAGCAAAGCACTGGCACATCAGGCATTAATGAACTGCTTGTTTGGTTGTTATGTACCAGCAAAATAGGAAGGGCCAGTTCTGCTTAATCCTTCCCCCCCAAAATGACTGATTCTTGGGATGCTGTATCCCCCATCGAAGAATAATTAAATACCAAGCAAATTCCACTCAGAATCTGTTTTTAGATGAGCACGGCATATTCTCCACATCAGCATTCCCTCCAGTGTGTGAGCATCCCTCACACTACTAACATGGCTTATATTCAGTGTGTTCCTACAGCAGCACTGGCATGACAAATGGCTAAAGGCAGCTGTTTCTGCAGTCAGAGGTGATACAGGAATTTATGGCGGTAGAGGGAGGGGTTGTTTTCCTCCCATGTTGCTTGCATGTGTCACAGAGAATCTGTTTTAGGCACAATATTATGAGAAGAAATGCAACCTTCAAGGTCAGCTGTAACGGTAAGTGCACATGTGACTGGTGAAAGCTGCTGGGTTTCCACTGATGTCGTCTTCTGTCTACCATGTGACCATGCTGGCTTGTTCAAAATCTTTGGCATCCAAAAAGAATGTTTTCCTCTAGCTTACATATGAATGTTATCGATAACCACAATGACGAACTTCCTTTTCAAAGCCTTTCCACACCTTTTCGATTATGTGAATGCTCATAGGAATCCATGTGTCCAGTGCACATCTCTGTGTGATCGATAATAAGCTGTGCTGTGCATCACAAAGGCGAGATGCAACAACACTGCTCGTCTGCAGATGCTGTAAAATAGGTGGATAAGACTCGTAGACAACTACTTCAAGCTGACCTTCATGATATGTGTTGTTGCTGACAGATCTTTTCCCCTACCAATTTTTACACAAACACCTCCACTTGACAATGGAAGACAAACAAAGCAACAGGACACTTGCAATGCAAAATGTTGTTTTCCACACATACTACGATTGTGTTAACAACACAACCTGAAAACATAGAGGCCATGACTTCAAAGCTAACAGAGCAAATGAATTGCAAATGCACGTCACAGGGTCATGGACACACACACCAAGATAAGTCATAAATGTGCTTCTTCCCCTGTCACGTGTATGTGTGGTGTCACACATGGTCCCTGTTATTGGTCAGTCCACGCTGTAGATCTGGACCTACTGTTTGCAAGTCTCTGCAGATCTTGCACCTTATGATCATATCCAATAGATTGTATAATTGATAAATCAAATCAAGGAACAGTTTATCCAATTATTAAATTTCGCTGCATGTTTGTGAGACCACCAAAAACATTCTGAGTCATGATATCCAGAACATTCATTCATGTTGTACTGCTCTCAAACTACTACTACAATCAAACAGTTTGTACAGCGCAAGTGTCAAACTAATATTACATCACTAGCTTTACAATCTGTGAAATATTGGCAAGTGGAAAACCATGACAGAGAATTTTACCAGTATGATAGAGAGAAAATTGTGATTTAAAAGCGTCAGGTATCTGATCTGTGATTATCTTTAGAAGCTCCTTTTATATAACAGGACAGACTGAGAGGTTACTGGTTGAGTCCTCTTAATAAAATGATGTTACATGACTGCAATCTGATTTATGAGAATACAGCCCAGATTCACACGGAGGGGAAGCAGAGTGGTCAAATGATTTAATTACTAACTCATAGACCTTCAAAGGCACACACACACACGCGCACGCACACACACACACACACACACACACACACACACACACCACTCGACTCTGAGAGATAAAAGCAGGTGACAAACACAGATGCACACAGACTGGCTTTTGTCACCATATACTTATCAGACGGCGCCACATTTACTCAGTATTAAAATCATCAAACAGAATAGCAATAATGTGACCGTGATGTTTCCCTAAGTCATGCTGTTCCATCTTATCTGATGAACATTCCAGGGTGAGGACATTTGCAGCCCTTGGGGCAACAAAAGCAGAACAGAGATGACCTGCTGGGGGCAGATGTTGGTTTGAGAGAGCGCATCTATCTGGCAACTGTGCAAGCAAACCACACTGAGCAGGAATGAGGACGGATTTCTTCAGTAAACTGACATTTCTTTCACACTTGGCATTTTATTGTGATAATGATGGGTCTGACTCCTGTAGCATTTATTTTACATTTATTATTCAATAGCCAAAGATTCAGAAACTGTGTTAGTTAAGGCAAAGAATGGCAGCATTATCATTAGGCTACACTATGATGATCATCAAATTAACACAAGAAAGATTTAAAAACTGTATTTTCTTGCTCTACCCTGATGTCACCACTTCCATGAACCCAATGAGGACTAAGGATAGTTTTAAAAGGAATAGTGAACACACTGTAACTGAAGACCCTGTCACTGCATTATATGTGCTATAAAATCTGTTATAGGATCGAGTTATTTATGCAATTATGTCGGCTAAATCCTGCCAACCTATAAATCCTGACTCAAGCCTGCAGCTCAGCAGCCAGTACAAATTCCCATGGAGCTCAGCTGACAGATTACACAACAGACACGCAGTTATTTGCAAAAACGCCAGAACTTGTTGAAAGCTGGTTTATCCTGATTCCGAGACATTTTTGCACAAAAACTAACTCCTAGTGTGCAGCATGTAACCTAAATCCAAATTTAAACCAAATTTTGCGGTCACTTACCATTCTCATCAAAGTTTGGGAGAGTAAATGGATGTTCAAGGAGAGCCTTGAAAATCTCCGGAATTTCTGTACTCATGTTTTCTTTTGTTTTCTCTCTTCAAAAATGCAATGAAGTCAACAAATGTTTAAGGAGCGAGTGTGCAGCTCACAAGAAGTAATTTTAGAAAAAAATAAAAACCGAGGAGACCGCAAAACGTCCTGGAGGGCGGGCGGTGCTCCTGACAGCTCCCATCAACTGCTCAGTCGAGTTGCTCACTATGAAGTCCAGACAACAAGTTACTTAACGCAGCCCGTCCCCCTCTGGCTCCCTGCAGCCAATCAGCAGCGCGCTTACGCAGAGAAACTGACGGAAAGAGCGCCGATTGGTCCAAGCTTGTGTTCATCACGTCGCTGGCAGCCAATGATGAGCGGCGCCAGAGTTACCTAAGGTGTAATGTACAAACCCTAAAAGTAGCGGGCGGTTACATGTAAAGCAGATAAAAACGGAATTAACTAGGACACAACTAAATCTGTCTCGACGACACTAACTGTAGCGACCACTTGGTGAGTTTTCAACAGGTGCTCAAGTATTACCAATTAACTACAAACATTTTAATTAAGCACAATGCAAGAGTAAAGCCAAGGGAAGAACAATACACATTCTACCAGATACTAAGGCTTGCTCTAATGGTCATGTCTTAAAATAAAACAAGTGACCCGTGACAAATGTATATTTTCGGTATAGGCTACATAATGCACGTGTATGCAGTTAACACACGTGTTGTTATGGCAGACATGACCTGTTAGAACAGGACAGGGAAACTAATAATGCTACAAAATCACCACCAGCTGGAGGGCTGGGCAACTAACACACACACGCGTGTAATATACTAATTATTTCTGATTATTGAAGTTTATTTCGTCTATCTTCGTTGACAGCAGGCTGTTTTATACAAAAGGCCCAGCAGCCCTCCGGTCACAGCACCTCTGGCCCCTGACACAGGCACTTTGACAGGTCATTGAATATATTCACACGTGCAAAACTATTCCTAAGATCTTTGTAGACACGTGTGAAAAAGCTTGTAAACTTGACTGACTGTGACAGGCAGTCAGGTCTAAGTTCAGTTGTTCAGATCTTGAGAAATCACGTCTGTCAATATGTCTTAGAGAATGTCAGTGGTGTGCTTCAACAAATGGGGAAAAAACGAAGAAGTCATAATTGTTTTTTCCTAAAACAGTTTATTAAATGCTTTCAAGAGATTTGGTCCACGTGTGTGATCATGAACGTCCAACCAGGGAGGAGAAAAGAGAAAACAAAGTCGAGAGGAAAAAACAAAACATGAAACAACAAAATGTAAAAATACAGTACAAAAAGAGGCCTTGTTTTTTCCACTTCTTACAACCCTGGTTTCTTCATTTAAGTTGTTGAAAACAAGTGAAATAACCCATAAACTTTTTGAACTTATTGAAAACCGATTCATTACGACCTTTCTTGGCTGTGTAGGTGTCTTGGTGCTGCGAATCAAATGACACAAACTGGAGGGGAAAGACAAGTAACGGGGGTTGGTATGACGCCTTTTCACAGCAGAGGACCATAAAATTTGACTAAACTGCAGCCGGCTGTAGTAACCACGACTGATTCACAAACTCAGTTTGGATTCAACTAAAAGCTACTTTTGTCAAAACAGAATATAACTTCAAATCAAGTGATATCAACCAAAATGATGCCCAAACAGTACATGTTTTTCAGGAACTTCATTAACACATTAAAGAATTATTACATTTTGCTAGGGCTGATTTATTTAGAAACGAGACACGACGTCTAGAGCAGAATTTTTTTTTTAATAGATGTGAGCACTGATCTTCTGAATTTGGAAAAAAATAAAAGGTAATAATAATAATAATAATTAGTGTATTGTAAGGAAGGCAAGAAAAGCAAAAGAGAGAGCCTGCACATGCTGGAGGTATCTTGTTCAGTAGTTAGGTCTGCTGAGCTTAGAACACATGAAAGGTCAAAGTCTTCACCGTTGAACTGGTATGAGTAACACGATGAATGCAGTTGAGTTACGCCGTTTTCACTGAGCACTCTTCCACTGGTGTTGAAAAGGATGTCAAAACACTCTCTAAGTCAGTAAAGATGTCGGCATGAATAATAAATCCTTCTAAAAACGATCTGCTTACAAGCCCTCTGAAGTGAAAACAACATGTTTTCTTAGCTGCAATATGCTGAACCAAAGAGTCTAGTTAGCTCGGATTGGTGCACAGCATTGATCATGCTGTTGCAGGACATAACACCGAGACAATGTAATGCCAAATATCTTCTGCACAAGTATATTTGTTATCAGAAGAATATTATAAGAATATTAGGAGTCAATCAGCGATTTGGCACCAGGTTCAAATCCTCTGCCGAGCAAACTTGAGGTTTCACGGTATTCCTCCACTTTTCAGAGTAAAATCGGCTGTAAAAGTACACAACGTCATTACTTCCTATTTTTTTACAGACAGCAAATCTGGGGAACAACCACAGCCACACGCCTCCCTTGAAAGTTTGTGTCATGATTCGTCTGCCTTTAACAACACACAACATGCAGCGCAGGCGTCCAGTTTTTTTCTCTGTGTGTGTCAGTGACATCATTAATTCTGGCCTTACTCCGACACTGGAAGAGGAGCTTCACCTCAAATGCTCGTAGCTTTTTCAGCTTTAACAGCTTACAGCAACATGTATTCAAATGCAAGAATTTAAACATTTTTTTTCCACTTAAAAAAGTGTTCACCTTTTCATGTGGCTACATAAAGTTTTAAAATAAAATTCTAATTTTTGATTATCAGCCACAGTTCCTTTCCACCAGTTTTTGGTTAGAGACCTATATTCATTTTCCATCTCAGCTGCTTTGTATATATCCTCAATTGATAACTGAATATCAGAGCATTTGAGCAGGTGTCGCCCTTCGAACTTTTCCAAATTAACTCCTTGAAAAACAAGATGAGAACACATTTCTGACCACAGCACACTTTTCCAGCCACAGAAAAAAAGACAGCCCATCATCTCTTATCTAAAATACCTTATAAGGGTGTCTAAGTATTATAATAGGTATCAGATATCATATACTGTATATAGTAAGCAGGATTATACAATAGGGGTATGTATCATCTTATAGGTGTAGTATATCGAATAAGGCGCTATACGGGAGTATATAGGCCTCTATGTATGCTTTTGTTTCCAGATCTGTCCTTGCCTGGTGAATCAATTCAAATAAAAACAGACAGCACAGGCAGTGAGCAGCGAGCTCTGATGTTAGGATCAAACGGAGACACTGCAAAGGAAACGGTTTACAGTATATATACTTCAATCATCTACTATCTTTTTTTTTTTTTTCACCTTTGGCCTACATACAGCTTAGACGACATTAATATTTAACAGTCTTGTACTACTGACATCCTACAGCAGCTCATAATACAACAATCTGTAGGACGTAAAAACTCAAGAACCTTACAGTAGCGATCAGAAGCTGAACGTTTTCTGCTCACTGCCTCCCAGACAGAGCTGTGCACTGCGGCATACACAGACGCATATTTACTGTTAATTATTATATTCATACATGGATACATATATAAAGAGAGAGTTATACATTGCAATTAACATACATATATCAATAGCATATAGAAGAGAAATAGAAATAGTCAATAGATAGCAATCATTATAGTCATCATATTCATCATAATACTAGGAGTAGTAGTAATACGATCCCTCGAAGAAGCTAATACCTGGGCTGTTCCAGACAAGGGCTGGTTACCAGTAATGGCCAAACTGCTGCCGAGTGACCAGCAAAACCTGACCTGTGATCTGACAATCATTCAGTTTTTCAGGTGCTGGATCATTAAGACAATGCAGCCTTTGGTATAACAACCACTGCTCTTTTTTTTCCTACTTGTCCACTGACTGAAATGAAGGGACTGCAGACAAAATGGAACATTACAAAATACACGCAGAGTATCCTGTGGTTTAATGTTCTGTTGTTTTTTTTAACGTTTTACGACTAATGATCATGTTTTCCAGCACTGGTTGAGTGTAACATCACGGTTCTGTACAGTAAAGCTGATTTTATGCACAGAGCCTCCCGCAAGTCGCTCTGGGCAGGTGAATTATTCAATTACTTAAAATGTAAAGTACAGCTTCTCTGAATTTTCATAGACACATTGTAAAACAGGAACAATACCATTATCTGTACATCTGATTTGGCTGCTGCTGTTGTGACAAAAGAAATGAAAAACCTCAAGCTGGGTGACTTGCGTCACATTTAACCCTCTGATCTTAGTGTGAAGATTTAATCCATCTCTGCACATTCAGTCTGAAACTTCTATCAACCTCTGCTGAAATCCCCTCAGACAACCCTGTCTGGAACAACCCACACAGAAGGAAAATGTTCAAAATAAAAAGAATCTTTAAAAAAAAAAAAAAAATTCACTATAGTCATCTAGTTCAGCGATACATGTCATATAGCAATACCTCAATAACAAGAAGTTCTTCTATGTAATCAATACAGGTTTTCAGGTTATATATTTATTAAGCTTAACCGCTAAGTTATCAATTATTATTAGTAGTATACCATTATTCGTAAATATGTATAATATGTGTGTATCTGAATATAGACATACCTTCATCGTGTCTCTGTCCACATTAAAGGCTAGAATAAGATGGCAACAGATATCCTGCCTGTATGCATGTGTGTGCGTGTGTGTTTGCATGTGTTATGTCACTTGTTGATGTGTTGTTTATAGGCACAATATGTGGTGCGAATCATGTCCCTGTGTCAAGCTAGCAGGTTTCCCATAAAGGGTCCTTAGGGCTGCCGTTCGCTATCAGGAACAAAACATCTGGGTGCATATGAGGAACACAGGTTTCCATCTGAAGGCTGTGGGAGCTTGATTGGTTTGAAACAATGACCCCAGTTCAACTGAAGATGTGGCAACTTGCCCTTACATTCAAATTATCTTATATTTCCACAATCAACTAGAAAAATATATTCTTAATCATCTCTACCAATCTTTCTGCTATGCATTTTCTAACAACTTTCCTGTGTTTAAATTATTGTTCAACGTGACATCTATATGTCTTAAATTATTACAAAGCTCTTAACTTTTATCCACAACCTAAGTATTCTGCACGGTCAGTATTTTCACTGCGCTTCAGTCCAAGTGAGGTCATTATTTCGTTTCTGTACGGGGATCTGCAATCGGACCTGATCTATTGCTGAGAGCAGCAATTGCCAGGACTGTGTAAGTGTGCTGCAGCTCTCCAACACCAACAGCCAGACACCAAGACAGTTTATAGTATTTTATGGGGCACATCGTCTTGATTGCTCCGAGCCACTAGCCATATTGAATTTTGCCACAGGTTGCCAAAGCATAACTTTTGGGCTCTCATGTTCAAGCACGTGTTGATTCACCACGGCAGCAATTTTAAGGTAAATACGTGTGTGTGTCTGTGCTCGTCCTATGCAGGAATGGCTGGTGTGATTGCATAACCAGTTACCAGGGGGCCTTTGTTCTGTCAGGGAGGGAGTGGGGGACCATCATGTTACACAAGTTTTTTGGGCATGTAAGTATACTTACATATATTCCACCACAGCAACATTTTCCTTTCTACCAATTTCCTCATTTTGAAGGCCCATGCAGGCGTTACATTCATGTGTTCTACCAATATGGCAGACAATATAACAAGGAAGTGTAACTCCCCTTGGAAAAAGAAAAAAAAAAAAAAGCTCAAAATCAATCTCCATAAAGTTATTCTGACCCTCTTACTGTATTCCCATGAAGGAAGGAGAGTAGGATTTGGTTGTTACAGAGCTTGGCAAGGTGTGTCCACCAAGAACCTGTTTTTCCACGGCTTCATAGCTTCTTCAATTTCCACAACCATAATTAGCACTGACAGCTTGGCGTTTTTTGGCACTCCAAAGTTAAAATTCCAACTCTTAGTAGTGTCAGGGTGCCGAGCTTTATTTGGGTTTTCAACTATCTCCAAGCAAAATTTAAGAGCTGCGACCAGCGCGCCCATCCAAGTATTGTTTCAGTGCTAGGATTTTAAGAAGAAATAGAAAATAGGTACCTGGTGGACACAGATGCTCAGTCAGAACACTAGGGAACAGGGTCAGAGCAAAACTAGTTGTCTATGGAAATTCTGTGGTACAATCTGCTGGAGGGGAGCCTAAGGGTGCCGTATGTAACTGCAGCATGGCATAAAACGAAACGCTAAAGCCGAAGTCCTGTATGTTACTTTCAAAGCTTTCTTTTTGTGTTAATTTGTGCCTGTGATGTGTGTGTTGTGTGTAAATCTTTGCGTGTATACATATATGAGGGTGGGGCCAACCATTTTTCTGTGTCCATTTGCTTTCTTGTAGATGCTAGAGGAGGTCAGACTGGCAAGATGACAGACTATTCGGTTGTAGCTGGTGTGGCAGGCCTAGCTCTCTGTCTGCAGCTCAGCGGCGATCAGCAGCCTCTAGTCGACAGCAGCGTTTAGAGGTCGTCTCCGTCTGACAACCGCCGGCCTCCCTGAAATGATACACATTAGCACAGCTCATCTCTCACACACACCAACAATCATGCCAACCTCAGTAAACAGAGATGCAGTTACTATAAACAAAGTGCAAAGGTCTTCAAACCTTTTATATAAAAGGTTCACTGAGTTAATTTCTTTGTTCTTTTTCTGATAAGCTATCAGATGGTCAAACAATTACCTGAGTTGCCTTAGCAGCCATGATCTGCTTTATTGTTTAAAAAAAAATCTAATAATTCTTCATCAGATTTTCAGAAGCTTTCAGCAGAGAAAAACTGACATTCAGGCAACTGCCAGAGGGTCTGACCTCTGATGTTCGTGTAGTTTACTACTCACCATGCCTTCTGTGTAATCTGCTGTTATGGTGACCTGCTTGTCCTCTGGGGGTGGGGTCACAGCGGAGTTATCTGTGCGTCTGCTCTGATTGGTGAGCTGCAGCCACAGTTCATACATCTGTTGCATGTCTCTCACTGAGAAGACAGAAAAGAAGACAACCTCATTAACTTCAACGACAGTTATGTAAAACAACAGTTTAATTGGAGTAAAACCGATGTAATGATAGGCCTTTATTGTGACTGCATACAAAGCACATCTTCACAAATGTCTCCCTTTTTTGAAACTGATATATCGTATGAAAACATTTCCACACCCCATACACATTTAAACAGTGCCTAAAGATAAAAATGATAAACAAGTGACACATAAAGTTGACATTTTATAGTCATTTTCATAATTAAGTAGAAGAAAAAGCCACATGAAAAACACAAGTATATTTATCACACGTTAAAAAATGCAGAAAATTTGAATCATGAGTTCCAGATTAGGTGCAAATGATCAGAAGGAGTGACATGTGGAACCTTAAGTATTTAAGCTCTGTCCAGAGTCTGCTGTTCTCTTTGTTATGAAGTGCGTGGCGCCATCATGCCAAGATGTAAAGCTCTCTCTAAAGCTTTCAGATAAAAAGAAATGGATGCTTAAGAATCTTGCAAATGATTTACTTTGCATATTAGAGACAACAAACTCAAATGTGTTCCTTCAGTCTGAACAGTAATATAATGAGTAAATCTAATTGCATGTAATTCAAATTATGCACCACCAATCTTGTACATTTAAAGCTCTAAATGACAGATCTGATGTGGCACTAAATAAAACCAGGAGCTTACAGCTGTTGTTCTTCATGTATGTCCAGACGTCCCTCTCCTCAAGACTGTGTGCGAAGGAGCAGTTCCCAATATAGTGGCACTTTTTCTGCTTCATCACGTGCACACACATCTGGGCGAGACAAAGGAAAAAGTAAAGGGTTACAGAGTTAAATTTCATTCAGTTCTGTTACACTTTTTTTTTTTAACTATATAGTGCCAATTCAGCTTATAAGTTTCTCAGGACACTTCACTGGCCGTGACATTGTGAGCTCAAGACCTTACAATATTAAATACACAAAGATTCTCTTTGAGCAGCACTTGGCAACACTGGGGGGAAGCATACCATTTAACAGGAAGAAACCTCTGCAAAACTAGACTCAAAGAAGGCAGCAATCTACCTAAACTGGTTGGGTTTGTTGTTGAGCAGAGAGAGAAAAAAACTAATTACACATTACACTATGTTGAAGAACTACTGCCACAGCCACAAAGAGTTGCTTATAACACCCCCAAATTAATGTTACAAAGCACTAGAATGTGAAACTCCTACAATTAAGAGCTGCCTTACAGCCCCACCTTTCCCCTGGGGCCAAGGCAGTCAGCTGCACTCTGCATGTGAGCGAGGAGGAGAGGCAGAAATAGAGTAGCGTGAAACTGAAAACACTGCCACCTCAACGCTGTGCCACATGATGTGTCTCCAGTTCTGTCCCAAGCACCGATGAAAGTGTGCTGCAGAGCATTCGCAGTAAAAAAGATTTGCAATGTACAGATATTTGCTTATACTCGTATGTGTACAGTACCAATTTGATTTCTCACCTGAAGAGCCAACCTCCAGAGCTAATCCTCACCATCGCTATCTTTTTAGGTAATGATGCACGATGACAGCATCATCATCAGTATCAAAGGCTTGAAAATGAAATATCAGCCTCAATAAACACTGACAGGCAAGTAACACCTGCCAGGCTTTATAGTTTTGTTTGAAAATGCTGCATAGAAATAAATATTGCATGTTTAATATTTAAGCTTTTACTTCTGCACCTGCGAGTGGGCCATCTCAATAAGAGTAGGCAGAATAATAATATGCTAATTCCACTACAGGAGAGACCTGATGTCCTCTGCAATTGGGTTTAAAGCCTTGACAATGGCAATGAGTCAAAATTAGTTAAAAAATAGGAGTACACTGGGTGTTGGCAAAAACACAATATTATGCATCTCTGTTTCACTATTTGTAATGACAGAATTGTGGGTTATAGAGCTTGGGATATTTCCTAACCTCACAAACTAGGCTCTCCTCATCCTTTGTCCTACCTACACAAGAATCAGCGTCAGCAAGGGGTGAGGAGAGGGAGCTGCCATAGCACCCTGTGCAATGAAACAAGTTCAACATACCCAGGATATCTTTCATTATCTGGCTACACTAAACCTAACAACTGCAGTCAGGTTAAGGGGTCAAACGAAGTTGGTTATGAACTTGGTAAGTCAACCGAGTTTTCTGAACCTGGACATGAGTGTGTTCAGATGACAGAGGCGGAGCTGGCACCAGATGACTAATCACAAACATGAACAAGTCCACTGGCATCAGAGTGACGTGTTTTACAAATGAAAAGCAAACTATAAGAGAAAAGGCAAGATTCAAACACATAATGTAGACTAACATTAACAAAGCTGCAGCAGCTTTATGGGAAAGAGGGAAAGCTGGTAATAAAAAAACTGCAGACTGTTGAACGTGAACGTTAACAGACTTATCAGTATCACTATCAAATCATTAAGAAACACCATTCAAATCAATGAGCAGACGTACTACAAGTCTCATGTGGTCAAAAATCAGGCTATAAGGCTTTAGTGTTTTAATCTGTTTCTGTTTGAGAATGATTTTGTTCTATTAAAGGCCTAAAGAATAATGATATGATTTTAAAAAGGCTTGCAATTTGGAAAAACTTTCTTTCCCTCTATTTTGATACGGTGTTGGGCGGTGGTATAAAGAAAAACAGAGTAATAAGAATGTAGGAACTCACATCATATTGCTGTGGATAGGTGCGGGAGAAAGGAAGAGGCCGAACGACAACCCACTTCTTCTTTTCAAATGATTTTACCAGTAAGACTCGGCGCTCCTTTGTCCAGCTGAAGAGACAAGAGAGCAAAATTTGATTCAGTCAAACAAAAGAAACAAATCACAGCCTGGAAGTGACAACAGCCAGGAGTTTCACTTTGTCCACAGTTTTGTGCACACCTTTGCTACTTTCACTGTAGCTACCAGTCTTACAATAAAAACGAATGATGGCATGGTTTAAACACATTATTCACAGTCAGTGTGGACAGTGAGTGTTAAAGATAAGATTTGTACAGTCACATTACTTGGTTTATGACAACACATATTGTGTGAGTGTGTGTGGGAGTCAGGCCTCACCTGTGGCGCGCCTTCGCTGTGCAGTACTTGAGGTTCTTATCAGGTTCGTTGACCTGACCTTCTCTCCAGCACTGACCACACACAAACTTCATTTTCAGGTTCAAGGGCCGCCCCCTACCTGCCCCTGCTCCTAACCCTCCCACCCCAACTCCTCCCACTGGACTCACACCACCCCCACCCATGCCGTCTCCACCTACGCCACCTCCCCCGATCCCCCCTAGCCCTCCAGTTGGTATGCTGCTGTTAGGATGGGGTAAATGGATAGGCTGAAAGAGACAGAGAAGCAAGAAATTCATTGATTAAATGACAATAAAGCTGAAAAGTAAATTAAATCTTCTTATGAATAGTTTGTACATTTAAAAAAAAAACTGTACAATATCAGTTTCTTCAACATATACAAAAATCTATGCAGTATCAGTATTCCTACTCGTGGATGAATCTTTGCAATAACATAGTTGTTTTATATAGATATGTGCAATACCAGTATTTTCCACATCCACAGAAATCTGTGCAATACCACAACTTCCACGTATGGAAGAATCTGTTCAACATCAACAGTGCTTATGTATATATATTTTTTGCTTGTTTTTATTCTTTACTTATATTCCCTACATATTTGCACTATCCCCTCTGCTGCTGCAACACTGAAAATTTCCCTACTTTGTGATTAATCCCTGTTTGTACCTGCTTGTGTTGGCTGCAGCATGAGTGAATAGCCCAAGACAAATTCCCACGCTTGGGACAATAAAGTTAATCTTGATCTTGATCTTAATAAAGGCTTATCTTTTTAAAAACACATGGATGCACACAATGTTGAGTATTTGTTATAAATAACTGAATTTTTGAAAAAGGTGTAGAGAGACACAAGGCGTGAATGGTAAAAGTAAGAGAGACACGTGAGATTAATATTATAGTATACATTAAGGCCAATATATTGCTGCTTAAATTAAATTAGAAAAACAAAATGTTTGATCGAGTAAACAAGCGACACATGAATAAAGAAGAACAATGGCAAACTGTAGATCTGTGAATCCTCCTAAAACCACCCCCCAAAAATAGTCCTGTATTTAAACATGTAACAAGTCATGTTATGTGAATTATACTGAGAACACAGGGCTGCTGCAGTTAGTTTAGCATTTAACCCATAACATTTAATCCTCAGTCGCTTCGTCATGCAATGTAGTAAATACTATGCCGTGTGTGTGAGTGGGAGATCGTGTCTTTGTGACTGCCCCAACAGGTCCTATTGGTCTGGTGGAGCAGAGTTTTGATGTGATAGCATGACCCCCTATGCTCATTTTACTTCACAGGTGAAGCTCCTTGATACCAGGTAAAGATAACCGACTGTCTCTGCGCCCTTTCTGGCCTCACCTTCTGCTGCTTCTGTGCATTCTGCTCCAGCCTTTGCCAGTGTCTCTTAGACTCCTGCACCATTTCCTCATGGGTGATACCTGAAGGAAATATCAAGCACAAGTCAGTGGAAAAATCTTTTAATGAGTCATATTACTTACTTGACTTGACACTGGGTTAATAGCTGGTAGTGGGTGGTGACTTTTTTTTAATCTTGTTTACAACAGTATCCTTTCCATATCATAATATATGTACAGCATACATTATGCAAAACTATTTCTGTGTTGCCATTGTGGCAACACCAATAGTTAATCATACAGAGCAGCACTGTTTACTGGGTTTTGTTTTATTACAGCTGGGAGAACATTTTTTTAATCCATATTGAAAAATGTAACAATACTTTTAGAGGGCAAAAGGGGAATGGAGCACAATGATTACTTTACAGGATTTAACTGTGAAACTAGAATAAGTACAAATATTTGTACTAAATTGAAAAGCAGAGGAATTGGAAGTACTCAGATGTAGCAATACAGTACAAGTAGAAGTCATGTATTTAGAATTTTACTTAAGTAAAAGCACTGCCTAAAAAGCATACCATAAAGTACCAAAAGTAAAAGTGTTCTTGTAGATTGGTGTATTTCAGAATGATGTATATTACTGTATTAAAACCATTGATGCAAAAATGTGTTCATCAGTTTAATGTTGAAGCTGGTAAAGTTGATTTATTCCATTTATATAGTGTACCTGCTGTGAATTTTCCAATGGGGATCAATAAAATGTTATTCTTATCTATGATACTACATCATAATTTATTTGGTATAATGTGTACTATTAAACGAAATCTGTAAAGTAACTTTATCACATAAATGTTTTGAAGTATAAAGTACAATAGTTTATGTAGTTGCGTAGAAGTAGAAAGGAAAGTACAAGCAACTCAAAATTGTACTTGAGTAATTGTACTTAGTTACTTCCACTACCTCTGAAAATATGCAGACGTTTGTGTTCTACTCACCAGTGTCCTGCTGTAGAACCCAGCATTTGAGCTCTATGACAGAGTGAGCAAAGGAGCAGCTGTCCTCACGCTGGCAGCCGTAGCGAACCTCATGGCGACAAACATCAAACTGGCAGAGGGGGTGCAGGGGTCGGACCTTACTGTAGCGTACGTTGGCTGACCTCACCACGTGCACCAGGCACCTGCAGGTAAAAGTTAGGGTAAAATGTGTGATGATGCATTTTTCTTGTTTGTGTACAGGGGCAATCGGACAGGCTTCTATGACCTACTGACAAAATATAATTATATTTTTAAATGTACATTTTTCACCTGGTTATATCACCCCAAATAATGAACTCAATTAAGTTTGAAAACTGAATATATTTAAGCAAAAGGAACACACAGAGCTTTCACTACACTCACTTGTTATCGTCGAAGGGGTGTCGAGCTGTGAGGTTTGAGCAGACCGCTAAGTTTTCTTTGCTGCGTTTGCTGATGATGCGAGGCTTACTGTCAAAACATTCCTGTAGAAAACGGAAGATAAGTCATGGTCTTGTTCCAATTTCTCAAAAGAGTCAGAAGAGCACAAAGAAACAGAATAAGAGAGATTAAAGTGCATTAGACTTTGCTCTCACCTCACAGAGGAACATGAACATGCCCATGTGGAGCTGCAGCAGTCTGGTGACGCTGAGCGCCCGTCGCTCGGTGCTGCCCAGTGGGTCAAACAGCAGCTCTCGGCTCAGCGCACCCTTCCTCTCCTGCGTCCACACATCAATCTCCTCTTGGCAGTATGCAAACGTACAGTTCTCCCCGTACTGGCACTCCTGACGTTCCTGCACCTCTGTGGGATCCAAGGAAACAGAATGTTCAACAGAAAATAAACACAATATTTACCACATTGCTGTTGCATCTGGAAGCTGAAATTTCCCAACTTCAACTTTCCACTTAAGTCTCAAGTCAGCTTTATTGTCAGTTTTTGTCACATGCACAAAACACAGAGAACTGAAATTGCACTAGACATACATTCAAAATGTAACCATACCTTTACAGAGTACAAATGCCCCCAAGAAGTTGTTCCGTGCAGGTCGGGGCCGGATCCTTTTCCAGGTAGGGTCATCTGTGTTTTTGAGGCGACACAGCAGCACATCTCTCTTGCAGCGGTGTGCGGCCTCTGGCTGATACTTGTAGTCCATCACTCGTGGACCTATGAGCAAAACGAGGAAATTAAAAGTTTAAAAGAGCAATAGACGCTATGTTTTACTACTTTTGTAAGATGACAACTGTCAGTGATGTTACAATTTCTACTTGTCAATGACTGAGACAGACAAACGCAAAATCAATATCTGAATATTTCATGGATATGCAATAAACTGGATGAGTCAGCAATGCTGAAACATCCCACATTGAAGATTTCCAAAAATTAGGACAAAGAGTAATTGTCAAAGTTTAGCTAAGACACAGTGGCTCAGATGTTACTTTATCCAACCTATTCGGCTGTAACAGGCATGACAGGCCTGCCGAAACTCATGTGTGGCTGCCAGAGGATTCCTGGAGAGCAGAGAGAGGTTGGTTCCTGCTGGGCCGTTCTGAGGAAGAAGAGAATAGTACATATGATTTTATATACAGAAATAAAAGTTACTTAGCTGCACAGTCACCAGTGGTTCTAAATGAGTAGGACGATACAACTGACAGTAAAATCACAAAACAGATTTTTTCCTGCAACAGATGACACAAAGAAAGTCCCTAATGGAATACTCAGAGTGTGTGTGTCTGTCACTCACTGCATGTGCAGCACTGTGGTTGCGCATTCCAGGGATGAAACTGTGACACACTCGTCCCCCTGAAGACCACAGACACAAGGACACTGATGTCAGACACCATATTGTAATGGTGCTGACTCACACTGTCTGCTGCTGACGCACATCTCAGGTTAAAGCAAACTCCCCTGCAACTGTACTCTGGCTGCTAAGCAAGCTAACACAATGCACTGGGTCAAAATTACTTATAGTAGAAACCATGGATAACACTCTCTGTATTATACTCATCACACCATTACATGTAGGCTTTAGATCATGGGAGGCATGCTCATCAAAACACTTCAATTACTATGACAAGCTTTCTGACAAAATGAATGGCAAGTCATAGTGTGACATACAGTTACAGGTAGAGCTGCATGATTGCAGCCAAAACTATCTTGATTATTTTAATCTATAGTGAGATAAATATTTGTCATAATTATTCATTCATTTTAAGGACAAAATGTTTTTACTGCACTTTCACGTTGCTAATGTACAAATAATATAAGAATGTTCCTTTTTCACAGTGCATCTTCTATAAGCAAAATATACATAAAGTCGTACCGAATTACACAAAATTAAATCCTTTATTTTTAGTGCGATACGGTGACGCACTGCTATGGACATTTGAGTTACACATAGGTTAGGAAAGGGATTCGGTGAGGTAATGCTATTGACAATATCCTTCTTGGCCTTCATGCATTCTGCAGTTTGTGGTATTCTTTCAGGTAGTTGAACAGGTTAGCTGTGTTGCTTTGAGGCACAAGTTTCATGCACTTTTTGTTTATGATTTATTCTTGCTTAACATAAGTCGCCCTAAATCCAAAATACTTGGGGACGTGGGGAGCAAAAATCACAATCAAGATTAATATTTGATTAATTGTACAGCCCTAGCTACACCTAACTTGAAGTAATTTGAAAATACACCTGACTCATCAACAGTACAGGGGCCTGCAACAAGGAGGTGAGACTAATTTCTGATGAAATGCTTTTGCTAATGTTCTTGTGGCGTAAACTATCAAACAGCTCAGCTATGATATACATCAGTATACTTTGTGCAATATCCTAACATCAGTTTGCAAGAATTTAAGTACAAAGCAAGTTCAATCAAGACAACTTAAAAAAACAAAACACATGAACATATAAACTTTCAGGCTGTGCTCACCAGGGAGAGTGTACTCAGACAACGAGTCAAGCCCGCCTGCGGCGACTCCTGCCTTCCCTTCTCCATCTGTGGCCCCCGTGGAGAAGCCTCCCAGTGCGTCCTGCGCCTGGGTGGAGCCCTGGTCCCGCAGCGCTGAGTAAGGCTCCAGAGGCATTTCACTGATGGAGGAGCTGAAGAAGGCTTGAGGAAGCTGGGGTGACGGGGCTGGAAGGCTAGGTGAGTAAGGAGGCCGGAGACCAACTGCTGTATTGGGAAGGTTGGTGGGGATAGCACCCTGAACTGGACTCTGGAGGAGGAGACAGAAATTTTACTAGACAACACTTTGCTGATGAAATAAAAACAGAAAAAAAACATTAGTCACTCAGTGACGTGGTGAGGCTGGTTGAATTTGTTTTTTTGTCTGTGTCCTTCACTGACCTCACTGACTTTCTTGGGGATGCATTCCAACAGGCTGTCCATCTCGTTTTTAATGACACTGCTGCTGCATTCATCCATGTGCTCCGACACTGGGACTGAGTATTGCATGGGAGGCAAGCCCTGGCTGCTGGGGCTCTCTGACAGGTCAGTGCATGAGGTCACCACAGTGGTTGCAGGGTCATCGCTCACTGGGATGGGTGTGGCCAAAGGAGCAGGGATACACTGTGCACTGGAGAGGTCAGCTGAGGAGGAGAAATAAGGAGAAAAATGTGGTAAGTAAATAGGAGTCTCTGTGGCAGCTGACAAGTTTAAGCTTTGCTTTCTGACATACCTGGTCCAATGTCTCCCAGAGATTCCAGCCCATTGGACGACATCTAAAGAAAAAAAGAAAAAATCATTAGCCTCTCAGTCAGCCACCACATTACACTGGGAGTTCTGTAATATGACAGCAGCACCTACCTCTCCAGTGGGTGGAGAAGTCTCCCCAAGACTCTCCCCTTCTGTGGCTGTGGACTCTATCTGTGGGCTAACGTAGGCTTTCCGACCCTTAAGGCCCAGCTTGTTGGCTAGATCCTGGGCCAGGTCACTCACCTGTCTGTCCTGGTAGATGAATTAGAAAAACAAGAGCTGTCACTGAGGACAAGTTTCATTCATTTTCAGGTGAGTGATAATGAAAAACCAGTCCATGAAATTGGCATAAGCATCAACACATAAATTTCATACTATTTACAGATTTCTGCATCATCTTATATGCCTATCACATGCACTCATTTTAAACTTTATCTTCAACATGATGTGAAAAGTAGTTTGTCTCAGTTGTTGGCAACATACGTGTGGTGCTGTGAGGAGACACTTGGTTCCACATTCGTAAGCTTCTCTGAGGCGCCCCAGCTCCCTCAAACAGAGCGCTTTACGGTACAAAGCCCTGCGACTGCCTTCTGATACGCACAGTGCACTGTCACAGTCCTGAACACCTCGCTCATAGTCCCTCTGGAATGGAAGAAAAACATAGGATAGATATTACAGTACGAGCAAGAAGGGCTTACGTCAGACAAAGAGTATCACAAGATTTGAACCGAACCTCTAAAAAAGGTAATTTTACTATAAAAACATCCACTATAAAAGAACACAAATGAGATATATTGAGCTTGGACCTCACCTGGCTAATCTTTAAATGCAGTTAAGCAAAAAGATACTTGAATTCCTTTAGAGTAGACAGACATACAAAGCTGGCTAGACAGAAATAGTATTTTATGAATGTCAATACTAAATTGCAGTGAAAACAATTCAGCAGATATTTACATTCTAATACTGTTTTAAAACTATTACTTTGCTTGGAACTAGACTATGAAATGTGTGACAGGCAACCCTACAATTATGTATTTAGCTACTTAAACATCTTAACACATCCACTCTTCCCCCTTCTCCCTCACCGTCTGGTAGAAGGCAGCAGCCCTGTTGACATAGAGGCTCTCCAGCAGTTCGTGGGGGATGATGAGGGCCTCGGCCTGGGCGTAACGGGCAACACTGATCCCTTCTCCATACTGCTGGGTTGCTTGACGCCAGTCCCCATCTCGAAAACAAGCATTTCCCTCATCCAGCAAATTACACACTAACTGAGTCAGAAATGCCTGAAAGTAATACGTGTAAGGTGAGTAGCAGAAGAGATACAGTCGTGCATTAGTAAAACTAAGTGGTTAGAAGGACACAATAAAACAAACATAACAAGCAGAGCCACTGGAGGTCTAATGGATTTGAAGCTCAAATGTAAATCCACATCCAGCCAGTAACAAAACAAAATGCGAGTATAGTCATGTAAATAGGAGCACATGGTTGATGAGAAGTTGTGAACCAGAAATGTGATAATAGAGATCTATGCAAACCTCATAACTCTCTGGCTCTGGAAAAGGCAATGATGACCTGTGGACAGGAAATAAAAGGGATGTCTGAGTTCTCCATATGCAAGTAGTGAGTATTTTAGATTTGTCCACGTTGTGTAGTTGCAAAGGAGACATTAAATGTCGATAACATTGGTTCTCTTACTGGATGAAGCTCATTGCCTTCTGAATCTCCTCCCTTCGTTTCTGTCGGTCTGGATCCATAGCCTGAGAATCAAGACAAGATTGACGTGCAGCAGCTTAAAACTCTGCTTCTTGCACAATAGTATTAACAGCTTTGACTGCTGCAGTCAAATATCCACACTTAGCACGAGTATGCGGGTGGATAAACGTAGGTTCTGCAATTATTAACTCATTTGCAAACAGTGCTAACTAGTCAGGTATTTTAAAAAACCCAAGGCCTGCCATAAAACTAGCTCTGCAATCATCGGACTTGCGTAAACAAACAGCGGGGAAAAGGAATGCTGAGGCTGGAGACTAATTGGTGTTAGCAACGTTAACATTTTGGGCTAAACAGAAAGTGACCCTGTACGGCGAGAAATAGCGTTATCTGACTCATAAATTACAGAAATGCTCGGAAAGAGGGTATTTAAATGTCCAAGACAAATGTAAACGAGAGCCAAAACAATGTTGGGTAATGTTAGCTAACGTTAGCGTTTAACAAGCACACGTATATATTGTCATCTCATGCTGGACGTTACACCAATACGACAAAAAAACAACATATAAAATAAATATCTTCCATCAGGTAAAATGCTAATGCCGTTGATGTATGGACGGCTGCTGGAGCTAAACCGGTAGTTAGGATTAGCGTGCAAATGCTACGTGCTAATTCGAGCTAAATGCTAATCACTGTAACTTAGCTTTAGTCAAGAAAGGAAGAAAAACAGGCGAAGCTTTTAGAAATTAGTTTAATACTCTTCGATGTCCCTCGCATTGCATCCGCTCATTTAGCCAGTTGAGTTGACATGTATGGCTACAGTGCACAAGTAACCCAGATTTAACTAGCAACCAGGTAAGTTAGCGGACATAATTTAGTAGTGGAGACCAAGCTAATAGCCGAACACTGACTTAGCACGGCAACTCACCGAGAGTTAAGTTACTGGGCTTTTCAGATCACAGAGAGCTCCACAGAGCGTTGTTGATAACTGTAGGAAAATGCAGCCAGCCAAATATCAGTCAGTATCCAGGCGCATATTTGTGAGTTTAGTGTCCCTGTCATTGGTGAGTGGACGGAGCACGAGTTTCTCTGCTACTGCTACGACTGCTGCTGATACTACTGGCTGGCTAACGTTGCTACCTGCTAGCTGTTATGGCTAGTGCAGCATCGCAACAAGTTTCCAGGACAAGTATGGGCACAAGAGGGCAGCACAAACTGTAAGCACTGTTTGGGTTTTTCGGTCTCACAGTTTTGGCAGTGATCCCCAAAACACCTGTTACTTTTGTGAATTTTTTTTGTGGATCCTAAAAACTACCTGAAGCACACTTGTGTCCCATTACAATGACTTATGATCTATAGAGTTTTTGATGAATTGATTGATGGTCGATTTCTCTTTTTTATTCGAGAGTGTGCACCAAGTAAAATGTGCCAAGATGAAGCGATGGGAATGTAAAGGAAAACTTAAAGCGATTCTCATTTTTTGTCCATGTTTGAATGATGTAAAACCATGTTAGAGATTGTAGGTTGACTGCTGATGTTGTCTGAAACTGACTTTCAACTTTAGATGACCTGTGTGACCTTATGTGAACCCTCACTGGGGAACTTCACACATTTCCTCAGCGAGATGCACATGGTGCTTCAAACTGCATTTTAAAAGTTACAGAGAGTGACAGTGCTACAGTATGTCATGGTCTTTTTGAAAATTATGACTGCTTAAGGAACACATTACCAGCAATGATGCTCCTTTTGTGACTGTGGACAATCTAGTCCGTATCTGACCAGTCTACATGTCGTGGTTTTAGACCTGGACCTGATCTAACCTGGTCCAGATGTGGGAAAAACAAAGTGAAATGTCCTCTTTAAATTTTTCCCTCATAGAATAAATGTTTCACAAACCCAAACCTGCGTTTCAAAGCCTCTTTACCCTCTGCAGGAAACTTTATTTCAGATTTAACCTGTCTATATGTAGTGGTTTAAGATCTGGATCTGATCTAATGTAGTCTGTGTACACAAAGCAGTGAACTCTCCCTTTTTTTTTTTTACATGTCCACAAAAAGGATCAAGTTTTCACAAATCAGAAACTGGGTCTTTAGTCTCCCTGGGACAATCTCACCCACATTTGACCAGTCTACATATAACTACATTTGCTCTAATGTGGTCTAAGTACAAAAAAAAAGAAGTGAAATATCAGTTTTCTCCTCCCACTCACTTGTTATATCTGTTCTGTTATTCTTTTAAAAACTTGGATTAGCAATGAATATTCTCGCAACCATAAATTGATTTGTATCTATAAAAGAAGTTTGGTATCATTTTGTTTTCCAAATAAACAATTAATTAAAAAAAGAAAAAAACAGAAATATCTTTTTTTTTTGTATTTTCACAAATCTAATAAAAGTTTTACAATTTACCTCTCTGGCATTATTAAGTCCAGATTTATCCAGTGTGTTTATAATCACTTTAAACCTGACTGTGATGTAATGTGGTTCAGTAATAAGTAAATAGTATTATTCAGTATTAGTAAATAAAGTATTTTTCTATTCTATTCTAAGATACAATCTTAGGATGAAATCTTCTATTTGTTTTCTTGCATTTTCACAAATAGAATGAAGGTTTCTCAAATCAGAAATTGTATTTTAAGGACTTTTTAAGCCTCTGGAGGACAATCTAGTCTGATTTGACCAGGCTACAGACATTAGTTTAAATTGGTCAAAGTGAGAAAAAGGCAGTGAAATCTCTTTCTCTGTCTCTCTCTTCATTTTAACAAAGACTACATAGAATATAGATTTCACAGATTTGAGAGGGGGTTTCAGACAACCTGAAGGGTTTACCAACAAATATCTAACATGGTTTCAAACCAATAACTGAAAAAAAATGGAGAATCAGTTTCCCATAAGTTATCCCTGAACTAACTTCACCCTCCTTGATTTTGGCTTTACAGTGTAGTCATGTGTTAGAGTATCGCAAAACTTACATGTAATTAAATGTATAAAATGTTATATAGAGCCTTGCCTCAGGTGAGGTCGTCAGTCTCTCAGTGCTGCTCATGAGCCTCAGGTCCTCCATCAGACTGGGCTCCGTCCAGGGCTGTGAGTCCTCGCTGGAGTCCGCCACAGAGTCTCCATCATCTTCTCTGTGGCTCCTCTCTGTCTCCATCTCAGCAGGTGGGCCTGTGGCTTCTGCCTCGGTGGGATCAGGGACCGGGGTGTGTCCTCCTGGAGGGTTCTGGCTTCGGGAACTTTCCCCACGTAGATACGCAGCAAAGAAACCAAAAAGACTTGCCATTATCCCTGTAAATAGCCACCGAAACCTTGGCACCAACATGTTCTGTAAACTCTGCTGGTTTCTAGACTCTCCCCTGAGCTGTGGGGACGTCGGTCCTTCGTAGTCCACCTGTTCACTTTCCTTCAATTAAACAAATAAACACCGCGTTTATATATATTTATTTTAAAGTAATTAATGCAAACAAATTCAAAATGTATGAGTTTAAATGGGGTAACGGCAGGCGGCTATTTATTGTTTGTTTTGTTTTGTTTGTTTGTTTGTTAACTGCCGAATCGCTCGTCCACTCTCCAGTCCAGTTGGTGGCAGTAATTCACCTTAACTTGGTTTGCCAACCGCCATTGAAACCCACAGAAGAAGAAGACGAAGCCAGCAGGCGGCGCTAACGCCCCGGTAGACGGATCTAACGGAGTTTAATGGAATCAGCGAAAAAAGAAAACGTGACGTCATACGATTTAGCAACCGGCGCGCGGCTCGGAGGAAACGGCGTGTGTTGGCTCGTGTCTTCCTGTAAAGTGCTCTTTGTGGTAAGTTCAGCGCTAATAACATCTGTCTGCTCTCTAAAAAAAAAAAAGCTGCACGACTCGACTAAAGGCCGAGAAACACAAGAATTCACGTCAAAAACTCGGACAAATAGCCGTTTTTATTTCGTAATGTCAACTTTTCCAGTGTTGCGCACTACTTTCAGTTAGCACCGGTAGAGCTACGTAGCTAACGAGATCGCTGCTAGTTCTTGTTTTCTTCTGATGTTAGGAAACATTAACTGTCACTGAGCATTATCCGTTACTGTTACTGCCTTTACATGCTGATTAAGTTACTAAAAAGTGATGGCTCTGTCTGTTGACTAACATCTGGGTGTCTTCTCACAGTCAATATGGCCTCAGATGACATCGCTCAGCTGGCTGATGCTCTTTCCAAGACCCATGTCGGGGATGGAGAGTTGAGCTACAAAGGCCTGGGACTGAAGCTTGACAACGCAGAATCAGGTGAGATCCTGGGCAGCAAAGAGGATTCAGATTTATGTTTTGTTGTTCACCCTTGCTGTGTAGTGTTGACATTAGGTCCATGATTTTTCCTCAGACTTGTTAACTTGTCTTTGTGCTTTCAGTGGAGGAGCTGGTCCGGGAGATAGAACAGTACCAGGGTCTGAGGGCTTTGCGTCTCGAAGGAAACACTGTGGGAGTGGATGCAGCCCAAGCCATCGCTAAAGCTCTGGAGAGCAAAGACCTGCTCCAGGTAATCCTCAGTTCATGGTTTCTATTCACAGTAAAGCAAACATGAGCCACACCACACGTTTTGATTTTATTCTGCACGCTAGCATGAGTTCTAGAAAAGTGCTGACAGTACTAATACCGTTGGGGCTGGGTGTTTTGATCCTAGTCACAATAAATGTTATCAGTAACTTTTGACATGATTGTTTTGCCCATATTCTTATTAAATTCAGATCTCAAATCCATCAATGTCAGTTGTTAAAAACAAACAAAACAAAAAAAACAAGCCAGAGCTTTATAATAGTTTGTTAAATTTAAATGCTTGTTACAGTGGTAATAAAACTTCCAATCTGAGCAGTAAAACTTTTTCCTTATTTTGATGATCAGCTCACAAACTACTCTAAAACTTACAGTGTCAATACTTTAAAATACTATCTGACTACTCTTGCCGCAAAGAAGCCATGCCTCTCCCTCTAGGTCCTTTTCAGACATGGGTTATTTAACATTGCTGCTTTATTAATGTGTTTAAGTGAGGGCATTCTGTCTTTCAAACATAGATCACTTTTATATTGATGTTGTTTTCGGCTTCATTCAGACGAACCCACCACAGTGACAGAGAGAGTCATTGGTTCCGCATGATATTTGTTGATCACATGAGATTAGACAATGCACCAAGTGATGTATAATGCAATAACGAACAAAACACGAACTCTAAATCCGCTATGTAGCATGTGATTTAACTTATAAACTGTGCCTCTGTGTGTGACAGTTCTGATTGATCCTGTCTCCATGTTGGTGATAATTTGTCATTATACATACATAATGATGTTGTTCCATGTGCATTAGTGTCTGCAGCTATCTCACATTGGAGAAAATCAAGGTCTAATCCTGCTGTCTGATGCTGCAGGTATTGAATAAACTTTGAGGAAAGACCCCGACAAACAGCTGGAAGCAACAAAATTAAACTCATATTACCATTTTGTTAAAATTTGATTACTGGTGGGTCTTGTTAGTCTCACCTGTAGACTCACCTGTATGCAGTTACCTGGTGACTCATTGAGTCATGAAATTGACGCTGTCAGCTGCCTTCAGTTTGACACAAAGGAGTGCATGTCTGAAAGGGGCTTTAATGTCATAATGTTTTTATTCTATTAACAACTGTTTGTGTCCCTCAGAGATGCTACTGGAGTGACATGTTCACTGGAAGGCTGCGCTCTGAAATCCCAACAGCCCTGGTGAGAATTGCAGCCACTGGTTTATTTGTCCCAGTTAAATGAAGAGTCTCTCCCCACTGTTACAGATTTTTAGTTAACTATGCTCTTGTGATGTGTGTTTTAATATACATATTGAATATTCTTCACATTTCCTTAAATTTCAATGTTTTGATGTATTCAGTCATGCAATCTCATGCATTTTATCTTCTTGCTTCACACGTTCTCTTTCTATTCCTTCATCAGAGGTTCCTGGGCAGTGCGTTGATGAGTGCTGGAGCCAGGCTGACTGAGCTAGACCTGAGTGATAATGCGTTCGGGCCAGATGGTGTCAAGGGGATTGAGCAGCTGCTGAAGAGCCCTTCCTGCCACACCTTGAGGGAGCTACGGCTCAACAATTGTGGCATGGGGATCGGTGGAGGAAAGGTGAGCTCACAAACTGCGATGCTCCTTCAAACAGCCAAAGAAACCAAACATTTTTTAAAGTTTTGATACGTTTTTGCTTAAGGGCTGCAAGGTGGCTCGGTGGTTAGCACTGTTGCCTTACAGCTGGAAGAGCCCCAGTTCGACACCTGGGATCTTTCTGTGTGGAGTTTGCATGTTCTCCTCCTGCAGTGTGGGTTCTCTCCAGATTCTCCAGCTTCCTCCCACAAGTCCAAAAACATGTTGCGGTTAATTGGTGATTCTAAATTGTCCGTAGGTGTGAATGTGAGTGTGCTTGGATGTCTGTCTCTAAGTGTAGCCCTGTGATAGACTGGTGACCTGTCCAGGGTGTCCCCTGCCTTCACCCTAAATCAGCTGGGATAGACTCCAGCCCCCCGTGACCCTAGTGAGGATTAAGCGGTGTCTCGATGATGGATGGATGTTTTTGCATTGCAGTGTAAACAGTTGATGGTCTGATTATTGTAGATCTTGGCTGAAGCTTTGATCGAGTGCCACAGACAGTCATCAGCCCTTGGAGCTCCGTTTAAACTGAGAGTGTTCATCGCAGGAAGGAACCGCCTGGAAAATGAAGGAGCTAGTGCCCTGGCTAAGGCTTTTCAGGTAGGAAACGCTCATCCTCAAAGGGACTGGCCTTTGTTGTTCTCAGAGTGCAGTCAGCTGACTCGAGCTGCCCGTTTCACCTGTTATAAAGTTTGATCTGATTGAACTTTAACCTGTGATATCTCAGGGGTTGAGCCAGTTTAAGACAGAGGTGTGGGACTGATCTGTCATTCAGGAAATATTGTTTGTTTTTATTGCCATTATGTAAAGTGGTTGAACTTTTTAAATATAAAGAATTTCAGGGTTTTTTTCTCTTTTTGTATCACTCTAAATTTAATGTCTTTATCAGTTTTTGGAGTGCTAGTTAGACAAAACACAACATTTGAATGTGCAGCCTTCGGTAACCTTAAACTTGTCTCCATGTCAGTTGATGGGCAGCCTGGAGGAGGTTCACATGCCTCAGAATGGAATAAACTACGCTGGTGTGATGGCGTTAGCTTCAGCCATGCGACAAAACCCAGAGCTTCGAGTCCTTAACTTCAATGACAACACCTTCACCAAGAAAGGAACACTGGCCATGGCACAGGTGAGGCCTGTTCGTTTTCTGAAATATCCTGTAGGCAGAGAGGATCCTGTGTGTGTAGTTTGTTAAAGCCATAGTTTTTCCCATCCTGTTGGGCATGCAGGCTTTGAAGCACCTCAGGAATGTCCAGGTGATTAACTTTGGTGACTGTCTGGTCCGCTCTGAGGGAGCCATCGCCCTCGCTGCGGTCCTGAGAGACGGACTGCCAATCCTCAAGGTACCATCCCAAGTTCAGGTATTTGTGTCCGTCTGCTCCATCAGCAGCCTATGCTACAGTGCTGTCTTATTTGCTCTGTTTTCAGGAACTCAATCTGTCATTTGGTGAGATAACTGAGGCAGCAGCTTTGGTGGTGGCTCACGCTGTCATGGACAAACCTTACATGGAGAAAGTGGATCTGAACGGTACGTACACTGACTGTAGAGCTGATCTGTTTTTTTGTTTTTGTTTGTAGACAGAGGTAGCAGGATCATGAAAATCCCTCATATATTATGAAATTTTGTTTCCAAACAAATGAAATGTTTCTGGAAATGTGTTACATATGTTGTAATGGTTCAATTACAATTTTTGGGCAAAGGTTGATTCGTCTTGTATGTGACTCTAACAGGTAATTGTCTGGGAGAGGAGGGCTGTGAGGCTTTGAGAGAAGCTATGGAGAACATGGACAAAGATGACATGCTGGCATCGCTCAGGTAAGATGTGTCTGTGTCTTATGAAGTAATCCACTGAATATGTTGTTAAACTGCATAAACATTTAAATAGCAGTTCCTAAATTTTGTCTGTTTAACTTGACTACAGTGATGATGAGGGAGAACCTGATGACGAAGATGAGGATGATGATGATGACGACGATGAAAACAATAATGATGATGATGCTGATGATCACTGTAATGAAGACAGTGAGGAGTACGGCGAGATTGTGAAAGAAAATGGAATGTCAAAAAAAGAAGACAGTCCTGCTAAACCTCAGAGCCCAGTAAGACAAACACATCTGTATGGACTTAGTTATTATTTATGTGACATTAGGTCCGCCTGTTTTTTGTCAAAGTAACAAGTTTCCAATTGAGTGCCTGTCATATCTTGATTTTTAGCAATTAATGACTCAATATGCATTCAGCTATGGGGACAGTCAAGGAAATCTTGATCAACTGAAATCACACCTCCTCTGGAACCTTTTGATTGGTCACAGGGGGAAAAGGAAATTTTGCCATTTCCCTTTTTATAAATTAAATTTGACGCAGTACCTGAGTGCATTCTACCTGCTAGCCTTATTAACTGAAATGATTGTAAAGTGAACATTAAAAAACTAGTATTAGCAGCATATTAAATCATTTCATCCTGGTTGTTTAATACTTAGGACGTAGAGCAGTCAATGTGCACCTGCTGTGCTCCTGCCCATCTTCATATGATTTCTAAAAATAGAACTGTATTAACTGGTGATCCAGCACAAGAACTACTGAGCCATATGACACAGACAGGTTAGCGCCTGCTGCTAATGGATTTGTCCTGGCATGCTGTTGATGTTGCTCTTTATGAAAGTAACACTGGTGATTGTCTGACCAGTGAGAATTTGACAACATATCGACCAACTAATGACCAGTTGACCTGAAGACTACAACCTACTTTCATATTTTGCACAAACTTAAATAAAAAAGCCCAACATTTCTCAATGATTCTAATTGTTTCTTTTTTTCCATCCTCAGGCAGAAATCATGTCTTTCCTCAGCTGCCCCTCCAAAGAAAAGCTGCTTCAACTGGGAGAGATGAGGACAAGCATTCAGCAACAGGTGAGGATTTTACAAAGTTTTCCTTAATGTGGCTGATAAATATTAAATGAAAGCCGTAATTGGGTTTAACTGTTTTTTAGTGAGCCCAGTTGTTGTGGAGTTTTGTTGTTTTTTTGTTGTTTTTTTCTTTTTAGAGAAAATGGGTATAACCTGTTGCTGAACTCTTCTCTGTTTTCACCAGGTTGATGCGTCTGAGCCACACGAGGCTGCTGATGTCCTTTTGAAAATTGGCTCCCTGTACAGCGAGGACCCAGAAACCAAGACCGCTGTTTTAGAAACCATTGGTAAATAAAATGACACTTTTTACAGTCATTTGACAAAGTAATGCAGCATATCTGACATTTAAGAGCAACTGCAGAGTGCAGAACATCTCCAAATGACTTCTTCTGGACTGATGTCATTGTGTGAGCGTTCACTCTGCTGCCTCATTTAAACTACTGTTACTGTGACCGACAGACGCTGTGCTGAAGAAGCTGCTCTCTGGATCTGTCCTCCAGTCTTACTGTTTCCTCTCCACACTGCTGGTCTTGATGGGACTACTCAAGGTACAGTACTGCTGCAGTTTCCCAGAACCAGAATCTGACACAACCGGTGAAGCGACACATAAGCTGCACCATTTTTCACGTGAATTGAATGGTTGTCTAAGACAAAAAATTACAACAAATGACATAAAAGTTGGGCTGCATGGTGGCTCAGTGGTTAGCACCATTGCCTCGCAGCTAGAAGATCCCCGGTTCGCATCCCAGTTAGGACACCTGGGATCTTTCTGCGTGGAGTTTGCATGCTCTCCCCGTGCAGCGTGGGTTCTCTCTGGGTTCTCTGGCTTCCTCCCACAGTCCAAAAACATGTTGAGGTTAATTAGTGATTCTAAATTGTCCGTAGGTGTGAAAGTGAGTGTGCTTGGTTGTCTGTCTCTAAGTGTAGCCCTGTGATAGACTGGTGACCTGTCCAGGGTGTCCCCTGCTTTCACCCTGAGTCAGCTGGGATAGGCTCCAGCCCCCCTGCGACCCTAGTGAGGATTAAGTGGTGTTTAGATGATGGATAGATGGACATAAAGGTTTTACACATAGTACCTTTAATTACCTTAAGACTGTCACAAAGTTGAAATAGAACAAAATAGAATAGAATCGAATAGACCTTGATTGATCCCCTTGGTGGAAACCACAGGGAAATTGCTGAATAGTCACGACTCTGTAGTCGGTTTTAGACATGTGTAAATAAATATATCCTGACCCAGCTGTCAGTCAATTCTTGTCAGTGTATCAGATTAGCGTGTTGTGCTCTCTCCAAGGTGCTGAATTTGGAGCTCACAGTAACCCTGTCCAATTATGGAGACTTAAGATGCTTTCATACATTTACCTGTTTCTTTCAATCTATAAATGTGGTTTTTGGTATCATGTCTACAAAGCACACTGGTCACAGCAGCTTTACAAGGTCAGACTTAGTAACATGCTCATGTCACTTTTAACACAGAACTGAAGTCTGAATTTAACTAAATTGACAGATTAAAGTAAAGACTGCAGCAGTGCATGCCAAGAGAGAAAAAAAGAAAGAAACACCTGTTTTGTACCGCCCTCTAAGATCATTGTAATAAGTGTACTGTTTCAGTTTTAAGCTCATATGCTAATTAAATGAGCCCATTTTAGCGTTTTAGTGTTTGTGAGATCAGTCTTTAAAAAACAAATTTCCCCTCGAGGTTTAAAAAAACAGCGTCTTACAATAATAATCTGTCCAGCTAGTCTCTCCATTGTATTTCCAGTGTTCATTCATGCCTGCTGTATGGAAGAAAAAAAGAACATCCAGCAAAACCTTTTCCAGGCAGCATGTGTGCAAACAGGAATTCAACAAGACTTCTAACTAAGTGTCCTGTAAATCTCTGCTTGTCTACACTCAGACATGGTTATTAAAGCTGCAGCAGCAAAATGTTTTTATAATCCACTTTTGGTCCATCTTGGAAGAGAACAAAAAACACTCTTCTTCTGTTTTAGCTTTTGAAAGTTACATAATGTGTGTCTGAATTACATAAAGTCGGCACTTCACTGTACGACATTTCATTTCTGAAAAGCGCTTTTACATGTTGTTTCTTAGTTTAAACTGTTGATGAATATGATGTGTATTTGAAGAACATACTGTCCTTTAACATGTTTCCACAGAAAGTTTTCTTTTTGCTAATAGTAAACTTTACAATTCATTTCAGTTCATCAAAATAATTTCTTTAAAGTTGTTTCGAGCCTTCCCAGCTCTACTGTTCCACTGATTTTCACCAGTTGTGGAAAATCTTTTTTATAGTAGTTTCTCTGCTGCTAAACCTGAAGTATTACTAATTGTTTAATCAGTTCATTTTTTAAAATCTCAGATAGATTGAAAGTGGAAAAAACAAGAGTTAACTAGTTCATTTATGTTTGGGTTCTGTTAGGCTCAATTTGAATGTTTTGCTTTGTTTTGTTTCCATCACTGTTTGCTTTGCTGTAATTTAGTCCTGATTATTTCTGTCAGTTTATTGTGTTTTAGATTTTTTCTGTGCTGTTTTTCAGGGAGAGGGGAAAATGAAAAAAGTGTTGCTGGTCCCGGGTCAGCTGTTATGTTTGGAACATGCTGTCCAGCAGGAATACTTCCCTCAGCATCACGCCTCACTGCTTCACATCTTCCTGTCCAAGTAGGACAATCTTTTATCTACACAAGTCTCTGACTGAGATTAACTCTGTGTGCCTCCACTGCGGCATTAGCTGTGGCTGGAGGATTTATGTTTTCAGATGTTATTAAATCTGGTACAAACATCCACCTGGACTTAAAAATGAACTGATCAGGCTGTTTTTTAATTCTGGTTTTCATCTAAAGTCAGAGACAAAATGTGTTTATCTTTGGATTTTTAGTTTAATTAACATTTGACCTGCTATGTTTTGAGAGACTAACTGTAAAGATCAAATAAAAGCAGGACAGTGCTGTTGAACATGTTGTAAAAATGTAAGTTGTGCTAAGAGTCTCTGCGTTTCTGTGTGAATCTGCAGGAACAGCGAAGCTCTCAAGTCGTGCAGCAGTGCCGGAGAGCGGCTGAGCTCTGCTCTGGAGAAGAAGTGCCACGACAAGCACTGATCCGACCAGCCGTTGCCAGTACCAACACAGGGACACAGACACACACTGTACTGACATTCATGTTTTTTCGCCATCAGAACCAACAGGGATGCTTAACACTTGAACAAAGGACAAGTACAACCACTGCTGTCCAATCCTGATTTGTATATTTTATGAAGGCAAGACTGTCCAGAATGTCTTAATTATTTTTCTACTTTTGCTTGTGACTTATATTTTTTTATAGAAAATAGATTTAATAAAAAATAGAGAGCTACACATCAGTTAGCTGTGGGCATAATGTGTAAAGAAACAAGTTCAACTGGCTGTAACCTGAAGTGAAGCTAACATTAGGCACTGTCCATCTGGCACCTTTGGAAACATATCTGTTATTTAGATAAGTTTATCTTCAAAATCCACTGTTAAACAATGACAAAGCAGCACATCTGTTTCAGATCAGGTTCCTGTGTGTCTATGGAGATTATTTCCAAGTCTTGATAAATTTGGAATTAGTACAATAAAGACAAGCAAAGTGTGGTGAATATTGTGATATTGTCTTAACAAGCACACAACTACAGATTGGCTGTAGTTTTAGACGTGCATCTCACAGACTTTATGTTGCTGTGGAAACTTAGTTAAGGAGTGCTGAGACTGAAATGGTAATTCCAAAATAACTACAGTCTGAAAATGAAAATAAATTAGTCTAAAATACAAAGGTGACTTTATTGTTTTTTGACATTGCTTATTTGTAAAGAAGACAAGCTTTTAGGAGAGTCTGTCCAGTCATCACAATCATCACACTGCTGCTCATGAGCTCCAGTCAGTTCAGACTGTCAGCAACAGAAGCAACACACAATCATGAACCTGAACACAGCATGTGTGTAAATCAGCCTGGACTGAACACAGCCATAGAACTGCAGGGATCAGGGGACCGCAATCACTGTTATCTGATGTTCCTTTTTTGAAAAATGTGCTCTTTATATGACTTTGTGTTGTACAAACTCACTCACTGTGTATTACCTCATATCGCTCTTTGTGTCTTGGTGATGTAATGGAGCATTTAAGGGAAATGGGAATGGAATCTACTTTAATGGCATTGAGATCAACTGCATTTATTCAATCATGAGGATGTTTGTTTGCCTGATATGTTGTTAATTTGAACTGAATGCTCTGTTTTTCGAAATATAACACATCTAACAAGCCTGACTCAGTCTGTGTGTTTGTCAAGTAATATCTGCATCGGTTTATCAGTTCCTCCTGTGCAGGTCTAGTGTTTACCTCATGTCTTCTCCATTTGTGATGCTATAGTTTGTCCCTCGTGCAGGAAACAGGTGAGGATAATATAGAATATTGGAGATAATGTGGTAAATACTTGACTTGATGCTTGAAGGAGCTGTGTGGAATAAGAGAGCTTCCACTTCGGGGGTGAACTTCTCCTTTAACGGGCTGAGAGGAGCAGTGTGCAGACTCCAGCGGTGGGAGGTGGAGGTGTGTGTGCGTCGGGAGGGAGCCGTCGTGGATGAAGGGGATAAACGGAGTTTGTTTTGGATGGGGGACAACCGGGGGAAGAGCAGCAGAGTCCGTGAGAGAGTCAGCGGCCAGTAACGACTTGCAACTGGACGGAACCAGCACGAAACCAAGGTGAGTGTGTGCGTAAAGTAGATTTCTGTCATCAAACAGCCGAATGTAAGGATTTTAAACTCCAACATTTATTCAAATGACTGAAAAGACAAGTGATGAACTGATTTCATATGATGGGATCAAAACTGATCGCTTCATAGTAAGTGCTCAGTTATCCAGTCACGTGGGGACGTTTTGTATCAGTTTGCGTCAAGGGATTTAAAAATAAATGTTATTTTATTTTAAACATTCTGATGACTTAGTATTTTCACCACTGCTATGTAGTGCGTGAATTGAACAAATAAGGCTCATATTTGTCGATGCTGTATCGTCCAGCAGGTTGTTGTCAAAACTAAGTCAACGTCTTTACGCACAAGACAACACAACGTTAATAATATAGAGGAAGAAAATGTGCAAGGTAATTTGGTGAAAGTTTTTAGAGCCGATTGGAAACAGTTTTCTCACCGTCCCTGGCCAGAGGACAAACATTTTTTCAGGGGAAACGCGTTTTGGCACAACACCGGCAGAGACAGACACTGTGCGTCTTTGTGCGCGGCCGGCGCGGCTGCTCCTCTGCGGTTTGGACTGTTGATCCCCAGGGGGACGCGGACAAACAGCCCGGACTGAGGAAATTCCTCCGTCTCTAGTTTCCTGGCCCCTTTCTGTACAGGGGGTCGTTTGAACAAAACGAGGTGTGCTGCCATATATCAGCTTTTCATACTGTAGTCAGCTTCGTTTCTCTGCACTGATAAGTAGCTCATTCAAACCAGAAGACAGAGATTCTGACACAATATACAGTAAAAGATCTTCAGATATATATGTTCTTCTGACCATCTTCATGGTTAAAAAGAACTTCAAGTGCACATAACAAAGGGGATGAATACATTAAATTCATTTTTGTGTCATGCAGTCGTGAGTTTCTTTAAGGGCCATCTATGACAGGATTTGATGAGGCAGTTTTGACAGAAGGGTTTAAGCATGGCACCATTGCACGTGTCAACATTTTGAGACTCCAAATTTCAGCGAGTGGGTCTGTGAAGCTTTTCATGTCCATTCCTGTGGATCAAGACTGTTGATCCGACATGGGAATGTGGTTTTAAGGCATTCCAGTGAAGACTAGGGCAGACCAATCTGACCAAATGGCACTAATCCCAAAAAGTACAGGATGATGGAGACTTTTCTTTTCAGATTAGGCTTTGGAAAGGAAAAAACAAATCATTGCGATGCACACCTTTCTCTCATACAGTTAGAACTGAGTATGAGCTGTAGAGAAAATAATATACATACTGTCATTTACTGTACAAAATGTAACTTCACCAAACATTATGCTGCAGGGCCTGTATGATTTTATAAGCGTGGGATCCGTTTGGATTCTACTTACTGTACACATTTTTCTTCTCTTCTTCTTGATGTTTTTTGGGGCATGGTACAGAAAACAAAAAAACTGGAAACCACAGGTTCAGTCTTTAACGGTATATTGCATTTTTTATGCACATTGCCTGTTTTTATATGAAATAAAATATTAAAGATAACTGAGATAACTGTAGCGGATTAAACTTTGCATTAAACGGAAATACTGAAATAAAGTGCAACAAAACTGTGCTTAGATTTTATATGACAAAACAGTAGCTCAAACACAGAAAAGTTCTGGTGTCTTGGAACATGTTGTATACCAACCTAACAGTGTTACGCTTGAGTGTACATAAAATGAAATATGGTGTATTCATATTAGACAAGATAGCAAAGTCTAATAAGAAATAATACATAAACTAAACATTAGAGAAATTAAATTAATGCTGAAACTGTGAACTTCTTAACAAAACACATGCAGTCTCACTTATTCTTTTATCCATTTTTAAAACCCACCTGTGGATAACCCTCCTTTTCAATAAATAAATACACAGACATTTAGAAAAAATAACAATAAAAACAATACATGACTGTGTCAGACTGAATGTTAACAATTTTGTAAAGTGTGCGGATTAACAAATAGAAAAAAAAGAGTATGAAAGACTAATAATCAATAAGAGCGGCAAAATAAACCGTGAAACCTGGAACACATCAGTAAATAAATGAATGAATGAATGAATGAATGAATGAATGAATGAGGGAATGAATGGCTGAGTAATGAATCTAATACTGTACTCTACAACAAAAACCCAAAAAACTCAAAACAGCTGCCAGTTGTTGGTTCTTGGCCCTTTAACATTTATGTTTACTGTGTCACTGGCCAAGACTATTAACCATGAATACCACCACGTGTAGAAGTATGAATGGAGTAAATGCTGTTATTTTCCTCCTCAGATGTCCTCCCTGCTCTTTCCTCACACCCTCTGGGTCCTGCTGCACGTCTGCATCTCTGCCGTGCACTCGGCAAAATGTCCACAGCAGTGCGTTTGTGACCAGATCCAGCTCACCGTGACCTGCGTCAACAAGAACCTGACCCAAGTTCCTCCTACTGTTGACGAGGTTTCTAATTCACATGCACACTAACATTTCTACAGTATCTTTTTAAAACCAAATACAAACAAAAATGACAATATTAAATAATTATAACTTCTGGGCTGAAGTTTTCTAGCAATGCTGCTGATTGTGTTCCATCTAATATGTTGTCTCCTTTCTGTATAGATCACAGTGAAATTGGATCTTCGAGGCAACGACATCCAGGAGCTTCCCACTGGGGCTTTCAAACACACTCCCTACCTCACCCACCTGTCGATGCAGCGCTGTAACATCCGCAGGGTGAAGGAGGGGGCTTTCCGTGGCCTTGGTCGCCTGGTCTTCCTCAACCTGGCCAACAACAACATTGACATCCTCTACCAGGTGATCACAAACCGGCAGATCTCATGCTCACAACCGTCACGTATCCCATTATTACTTCTAGTTTGTTTGAATTTTACAGTCATCTCTGCATAGCTCAGTTCCTTGTTAAAACAAAATCTACCCCAGGTACATGCGCAAGTATTTTCAGTGCACCAGAGTTAAATCTATGTCATCCTTTGTGTTTTGTGAGTCCAGGAGTCGTTCGATGGTCTGTCCTCGCTGAAGCAGCTCATGATTGACCGTAACCGTGTGGAGGAGATCCAGCCCGGAGCTTTCTCTCAGCTGGGCTTCCTCAACCTGCTCTCCATCACACACAACCAGCTGGTCTACATCCCCAACATGGCCTTCCAGGTACACAAACACAGTTTAATCAAAATGTCTCCGCTGTTGGAACATGAATTAAACGGTCGACCTCTCTACTCCTTTCAGGGCTTGCAGAACATCAAGTGGCTTCGTCTCAGTCACAACTCTCTGAACTATCTGGACATCGAGGCCTTTGCTGGTCTGTTCACGCTCACACGACTCAGTCTGGACCACAATGAGCTGCAGTTCTTCCCCACTGAGACCATGACCAGGTTAGACCACGCACAACTCTCAATGGAATAACAAAGTTTATTTGTACTTATCAAAACCAGCGCTACACAGTTCTTTACAGCAAACACAAAAACACACAGGTATGTAAAAGAGGAATAACAATTGAAAACAATGAATGATTAACAAACAAAAAATATAAAATCAATGGGTGAATATAAGCCTAAAACAGAGCAATGCAGGACTCAAGTGCAACATCAAGAATATGTAACAGTGACTCAACAGTAAAGAACAAAAGTTGACCCTGTAAGAAAATGTATAATAAAGTCTTCTGATACAAATAAGTCTTTAAAAGTGATTTAAAAAATCTTATGAAAGCCAAAACCTGCCACTGGATTTAAAAGGCAGGTGATTATTTTAAAAAAGTATAAAAAAAAAACAAACTCATTTATCATATATCAGAGCCAGAAACTTCAAAAACTGAAAGAATTGTGAGCTTTTCAACTTGAACACATGGTGTGATGGGCTTTTCAGTCAGAAAAAATAAATGAAAACTGTGATTTTTCATCAAAATCACTTCATTCTGTGTCTCATTTTAAAAAAATGTCCCAAAATAAAACTGCTTGCACCAGATCCAGTAAAAAGATCATAAAAACATATAAAACATTCTTAAGCAGTTAAATAAATGCAGCATGGCTCATGTGACCCAGTAAGTTGTTGGAAGATACATTTAGCATGGTGAAATATCGTAGAGGTTTTTGGTAACACATGTGGACACTTGGAAAAATGATTTACATGTTGATTACAGTATTCTAATAAGATGTGAGAAACACAACAACTTGTGGTCTTTACTGATAGTAAAAGGTTGAATGTTTTCTCTGCACTTTAGTCCAAATCATAACAGAAAGTTGTGAAAAACTTCTATGTGAAGTTGGTTGATAGTATTAGGTAAGTTAAGCGTTTCATTCATTGTCCATTAATTCTAAAATAGAGAATATTATTCTTGCCGTAGCTTTGATATTAGTAGTTCCTCTTCTGACATTCTTTATTCTTTGCCTCCTTTGGTTATCAATGATGAATGAGTTCTATGTCAGTAGGGTGATTTGAACTAGCTCACCCCACTGTTCCTGGTGTCCAAGACCAAAATTAACTACAAACAACAGATCTAACCTCTATTATAGTAATATTTGACCAACAAGCTGCATATTTCCCTTCTTATTTCCACATTTTCTCCCTCTCTGTATCCAGACTGCCAGAAGTGACTCGTCTTGATCTGGGCTACAACCCCATGACGTACCTGGGAGAGGACGCGGTGTCTATGGCCAAGCTGACCCACCTCTTCATGGATCACATGTCCCTGCAGGACATGGCCAACACAGCTGTATCAAAATCCCCCAACCTCGTCCACCTGGACATCAGCCATAACCAGCTACGTGTGATCCAGCCCTTGTCTGAAGGGTCACCCAAGCTGGCGCGCTTCAACCTGGCAGGGAACCCCATCTACTGCAACTGCTACCTGCGTCCACTCAGGTACAGCACACCTTTGTGGATTATAGAACAGAGCCTTTTATATAGAATACAAAAGATGATAGATGATTGATTTCCTGGTACAAACTAGTTAGCAACTTAGTGCACTGCCGTCTGCTCAGTTGTGATACGTGCTCTGCTACATGTGCTGCAGACAGCGATGAGGATATTGTCAACAATGGAGTCAAAGCTGCTGTTCTGGAGAAACTATGTGATCACACCATTCCTAAATTACCCCAAGCATCTTTTTCTGTATTATGTTCTGTTAAAAAAAAAAAAAAAAAGTTTTATACACTCCTATACACTCAGATAAATCTTTTATCGACTGGTTGATCTTATGTCTTCTTTTTTCACTGTGCTCCAGAGAGTGGGCGATCCGTAACAAGGTGAAGCTGATGGGGACGTGTGGAGGACCGGCCCACCTCTCAGGAGAGAACCTGGAGGCCGTCTACCCTGCAGAGCTGCGTTGCCAGAGCCAGGAGGCCATGCTGAAGGCAGAGTTCGAGGAAGCAACCAGGAACACCCCACCGCCCACTGAAGAGCCCGAAAACAAGGTCAAGTGTCCTGCCAACTGTGTGTGTGAGGTGAGTGGGTCAATGAGGAGGCTTGGTTAGATTAGAAAGTGAAGACTTTCTTTTTTGTAGTAGTTTTTTTTTGGTGTAGTTGTCATCTAGTTATGCTTCAGTTGTTTCCATGTTCCTCAGATTGACTTTTACATCTTTACTTGTAGGTGTGTAGTTTTCTTGCTTTTGCTGATTACATGAGGTTATAGTTCAACATTTTAGGAAATATGCTACTTCCTGAGTTTATAAGAACCATCCCCATGAAGGTAGAACCAGCAGGACATTTGTTTATTTTAGTCACCTGTTAAGACTTCTGAAGCTAACTCATTAAAACATGTTTTCTGGGGAGTTGTACTGGAACTGGTTGTAGGCCATTAGCACTGATGTCCTATAGTCTTGTCATCAATGTGAGGTTGAGAGAGGTAAGTTGAAGATTTAGAGGTGCTGGTTGCCGAAGCTTTGACATTTTTGGGTAGAGCCAGACCAGCTGTTTTAGTTTACAGGATAGGCTGTCACGTTTATTTTGGAGATCGAGGTGTAGCAATAATGTAACTGTCCAGATGGCCTTCTATACTTTTTAGGGCTAGATGACTATTATCCCTCAATCCCCAAAAGAACAGGCGTGAAGGGGTAGGCTCACAGGCGGGAATTGGAATTCGGCCTAACTCTTGGCAAACAAGTGCTAAAAAGTCAAATTATAATCATTGTTTCAAATCACTGAAACATTCCATGACACCAGATTACAAATGGAAATACCTCAACATGATGCCATTGTGTCGAGGACTTTGGGTCTTAAAGCAAGAATGTGAAAGACAAAATAACTCAATCTTACTCTTGCAAATGAAAAGGTAAATTCATAAACAACTGCTCAGTTCAATATTCTCAAGGGTTTGTTGCCTCTGCTTTACTTACTCTGGTGCAGCCAGTAGTTCACAGTGGTTTTACAGAATAAAAAATATAATAACCTTTTAAAATGCAACACCTTGTTTGAACATTTAACCAATGGTTCTCAACTTTCCTTCATTCATTCTTTATTTCAAACATATTAAAAAATATATATTTAATATAACTTTGTTGACTTATTGCAAAAAGCAGTGTGTAGTCACAGTCACATGTCAGCTGTCTGAGTTGTTCATAGCTCCACCAAATAGTAATTTTTCCCTCTGAACTTCTCACCAGATTTTAGTTCAGTAAAAATTCAACAATCCAATGTGTCACAAAAAATCTAAATATTGTCACATATAAAATTCTATTAGTCAGACAAACCAAAGCAGTACTTTTAATCCATTAACTACATTTTGTGTTTAATACTTCTGCACTTTTATTAAGCATATTTTTCCTTCCTTGTAATAGACTATTTTATATTGTTGTATTGGTACTTTGACGTAAGTAAAAGATATGAATACTTGGATACATATTGCTCAATGGCTTAATGACATAATTAAGCCAGTTTGCTAATTTTATGACTCACCTCTCATATGCATCGTTCTTATTTAAATGTTAATTGTAGCCACATTGACCGCACAAGTCGGCAAAAGCTGCGTAGTCATGTAGTTACTGCAGTTTTCGACTGCAAAATTCATGCCATTTTTATCATTCGCCTTCAACTTTTCTTTGCACAATGTCTGTGTAGATATATTGCCAGGTTTATATGATTTGCGTATATAAATAACTTACTAATCTGGAGGCCGAGTGAGTATTTCTGAAAGCGCTGAAGTGTTAGTTGTGTGTCGTGGTCCTCTTTGTCCACTACATTTCTGTGTCGTCTCTGTCTACAGGGGGAGACACACCACTCTTCATGTGAGAACCGCGGCCACACTAAAGTTCCTCGGGGTTTCTCTCCCAACACGCGTCTCCTGGACTTACGTGGAAACAACTTCCACTACATTCCCAGCAACAGCTTCCCTGGTGTCGCCCAGGTCGTGTCGCTACACCTGCAGCGCTGCAAGATCGTGGAGGTGGAGGGAGGGGCCTTCAGTGGGATGAAGGGGCTCATATACCTTTACCTGTCTGAGAATGACCTCACCTCTCTCAGCCCTGACGCCTTTAAAGGTCTTTTACAGGCTAAATTATATCTGTAGGGCGGTTTTACCAGTAGTCTGACTTTCATCATGTGTGTTTAAATAAGATCCAGATTAAGTTTCTGTCCTGTAAATCCTCAGGTTTACCTCAGCTCACTTACCTCCACCTGGAGAAGAACCGCTTCACCAGCTTCCCTAAAGGGGCCTTCAAACTGGTGCCCGGTCTGCTGGCACTTCACCTGGAGAACAATGCCGTCACCAAGCTGGAGCCAGGTATCTTGAGCGGGGCTGAGAGCCTCAGAGCCCTCTACCTCACCGGGAACGCCATTGAACACGTGTCACCCAGAGCTCTGGACCAGGCCAGTGATCTTGATACGCTCCACCTGGGAGGAAACAAGCTGAAGGAGGTTCCTACTGAAGCTCTGAGCAAGGCGGGGAACCTCAGAGACCTCAGGCTGTCTGGGAATTCAATCCGCTGGGTGGGGCCAAATGCCTTTCATCCTCTGGAGGGGTCACTGAAGGAGCTCTATCTGGACAACATGGGACTGGAGAAAGTGAGCGGCCAATGTAAACTCTGAGCACATTTTAGTCAGCAACCTAGATCTTTCTTTGCAAACACTTTTTCTGCTCCAATGTCTCACCCTCCAGATGTCGCAGAACTCCCTGGCAGGACTGGGTCCAGGGCTAAGGAGTCTATTCCTGGAGGGAAACCAGCTGGAGGAGGTACCTGACCTCCATCCACTCACTTCTCTGGAGGTCATCAACCTGGCTGACAACCCTCTGATGTGTGACTGCCCTCTGCTGCCACTGCGCATGTAAGACAGCCGCAGCACAATGAGTGTAGTCAGCCATGACTCAGCAGAGTTTCTGCAGTCTGAAACTGTTTTTTTGTGTGTGTCTGCATCTCCTTATCAGGATAGAACCTGTTTACATTTATAGTAATGCATCTTTCTCTATGATTTTTAGTTTTTAGTCCCACTGGCTCAACGACATGAATATAGAAGCTTAAATACAGTGGAAAAGCTCTAACACTTTTTACTAATATGAATCATTTACTTGTGTCTGGGCATTTTAATAAAAGATATTTCCTCTTCATCCAGGTGGATTGAGAAGGTTAACCTAAAGGTACGAGCCACCTGTGCTAACCCTCCTGAACTGAGGGGTCGAAGGGTCAAGGATGTCCACGTTTTCAAAGCCTGCCCCGGGGGAGAGAGTCTCCCCGCCGCCCCGACCGTCACCCCAAAGCCAGCCAAGGCCCCCAAAGCAACCAAACCCAAACCGATGCACCTCAACGGCCTTCGGCAGGTCAAAATGCTCAAAGCCAAATCCAAGCTTCGCAAGAGTCCAAACACGAAACAGGGAGCAGCAAAGAAAACCTCCAAAACCACAAAGAGACGCAGCATGCCTTAAACCTGCTGCATTTTGGTGCCACATCTGACTTCGGTGCTGCTTTCAGACCAGAACTACCAGTAAACTGACAAAGATTTTCAGGTTAAACATCTAGTTGAACTCTCTGATCATAAAACCTGCCAGCTATGAAATCTTTCGCTGCTGAGGCTGTGCTGTATTTTACACATCTTGCCAGTTTTCATTCACACCATTTATCAGCCAGATATTTACAGTATTTCCTACTGCTGTCTAGTCAGTACAGTGTTGACCTTTTTCTAGTTACATCCCCAGCTATGTAACGCTGGTTAAACTCAGGGCTTTGAGCTCCTGAGCGGCTTCAGTTGAAGTTTTGCATCTTTAAAGAGATAAATGAAGTCAATGTCATGACAACAAATCCTGCTGTTATTCAATCGGGTGAATGATAGGCTCTTGAGCTTAACGCTAGATTTAAACCACTACGTCACAACTTCGAGTCCAATCTGTAAAGAATCATCAAATCAGCTAATTTAGAAAACAGTATTTTTTTTAATCACTGGATGCTCATTGACAAACCATCTCGATGTAAAACTGGAAATAAAATAAACCAATACAACAAACACTGGCTGATGTCGTTACAACACAAGACTGTCAGAGTCACATTTACAGATTTGACATTAGACGCATTAAACTCAACTGAAATGAGAGAAGTAGAAAACAGTGACTTCTACATATTCTATAATATAATAGTGTCGTTGAAGAGGTAGTTTTGAAACTGTCAAAGCTGGTCTTCGTGAGCAATATATCAGGTTTTAAGGTATAATATTTAAGGTTGAATTCTGTTTTTGATGCCATCTATAGGCAACATTTTTATGCATCATATTCAACTGGTGATTCTAAATTGTCCGTAGGTGTAAATGTGAGTGTGCTTGATTGTCTGTCTCTAAGTGTAGCCCTGTGATAGACTGGTGACCTGTACAGGGTGTCCCCTGCCTTCACCCTAAGTCAGCTGGGATAGACTCCAGCCCCCCACGACCCTAGTGAGGATTGAACAGTGTATAGATAATGGATGGATGGACATTCAACTGTATTAATATTCTGTTTATTTAAGCAGCAGCTTTCATTTTAAATACTCCACATATGCATGATATCCAGTCATACAGCTTAGTGTTTATCATTTTGTAACACTGATTTCAACTTTACAACCAAACACTGTCAGAAGTGGTTTATTAAGTTATTGGTAACAGGTTTTATGCTGCAGATACCCACAATATGTAGTTGTTTTGTAGTAGAAGGGAATTCACTTGGAAAACCCCATTCTGCACGTGCTCTATTACCCTATGCTGCGTTGTCACGTTTTGGGCTGCACGTGGAGGAAACTGCCAAGATTTGGTTCGATTACAAAATTTACATGACATGGGTCCTCACTGTCTCCTGGATGTGGAAAGTGTGGCATCGACCTTAAATGAAATTTTATGCCTGACAAGTAGCACATCAACTTCTCAGCAAGGTAACAACACATTGTTCTACTGTTCAGCCATTATCCACTGATTTATTCATTAAAAGCCATATTCTGCTTCCCTTTCCTTTAGTGTAATGTAGCTGCTATTTGTGCATTTAAAACCTCTGCAAACTTACAAAGTTCAAACCAAAGGCAGGCATTCTCTCCCACTGAAGACCCTGCTACTTATCTGCCAGTTCAGCTTTCTTTCAACAACCTCTCTACATCATTATGTTACACACTGGCATGACACCTGCCAAGGAGCAGGTTTGGCACTAAAAGAATGAGCAGCTTCCTCACAGTCCGCTCTTATTTCCTTACTAGAGATGCTGCTGTTAAAGTGGCATCCCTTATAAATATAATAAATCTGGGGTTACAGCATGTAAGCAATGTTGCTGTCACTTTTGTCGAGCCAGCTGACCAATCAGAGCAGACTGTACTTTTCAGGAAGAGCTCTTAAAGACACAGGAGCTAAAATGGAGCAGCTGTTTAAGGACTGCGATTTAGACAAAGAATTCTAGGTCCTGTAGTGTAAACTGAACCGCTGGTGTTGCTGACACAGCCAGGACTGAAATCTTGAGGATTATAAATGTAAACTACTAGAGATACAATAGCTCTCAACTGTTGTTTGCTCTAAATAAACCTCTGTCTGCTTTCCCACTCTGGGTTTATTCTACCCGTTAATAAACTCACTTCTCTTTGCTTCTTCGCCTTTTCTACAGTTTCCATCATTAAAAACTCGTCTCATGTAATGATTGCTTCAGCTTGTCCTGCAGTGTCTTGCTCTGCGCTGATCTCTGATGTTTCCTCCATGACGCTGTCATCTTCTTGGCTCTCGTCCTCTTGGTCTAGTTTCTGTCCTTCATTTTCACTCTGCTCCGTGTGACTGTCAGCGGTCGAGCTCTCTTCCAGCGATCTGCGCTCTTCACGTCTGTCGTCTGCTGTTTTACTTTGCTCTGTCTTCTCATGTTCTCTGTCCAAACTACTCTGCTCCAGGACCTGATGCAGTCTTGACTTAGCCTGCTGCCCAGCCCCCTCCTGTTTGATCACACCCACAGAGGCCTGCTGAGGGTTGTCTGGGGGCCCGATAGGAGTCTCCATCTCCATCTCCTCCACTTTCACCTCCACCGCAAAGACTGTAGAGACACAATCAAGCCAGCAAATTAAAAAAAAAAAGACCAAATAAAATGCTAATGAGAAGAAATGAACAGCCCACTTACTCTCCTGCTCCTCTTGCTCGGCCTTGGGTTGGATCAGTGGCGCTTTTGGAGGAGGAGCTTGAGGACTGTCGACGCCGACAACCTCAGCCTGATAATCTGCATCATCTTTAGCTTGCTCCTGAGACAGCCTCTTCCTTGTATATTTCCTTCCTACAAAAGGCAATACAATGAGGTCATTTTCTTTAAACACTACAGGAGATGTAAGATAAAAACAACACTGTATGTGTTATGGCAAGACACAAGACTCCATGTACATTTCTGAAGCAAAACGTACGCTTTTTCCCGAACACAAAGGGCTTGGTTTTCTTGTTCCGTACCACCTGGTTTTCAACTAAATCGACTGGAAAACAGAATAAAATACCTGTCACTTTAATACAGGCCCAGAAACATCGACACACTACCAACCAACCTCATCAGTCGCTCCCATCTGTCACAGCTGTTGGCTAAAGCTTGTTGAGTGAGACAACCTCAAACAAGGACAGTTTTCTGCTTCATTTGATTTATTTGCTGTATTTACATTAGATAATTCCACTAATAATACGAATTATTAAATATTTCAATGAATATTCAACTATAATACACTGACCTACATCTATTCAATGACAACTGTGGCTGTTTTCTATTGAAGGTGTTTACCGAGGCCAGGAGGCGGCTGGAGCTGGTAGCCGACGAGCTCACACCAGCCGACAGGGTAGATGTCCGGGGACTGGTGGTCGATCCACTGATCGAACTCATCCTCCCAGCCGTCGAAGTGGATGAGCAGCAGGCGGCCAACGTAGCGCTTCACGGTGGCCACACACACCAGACGTGGCTCCATCAGGTCCACCGCCTCCAGCTTCATGTTGGGGGAGAAGCTGTGACCTGGGTAGTCCTGGAAATAGCACCAAATTAATTAACTGACACTTTGCACCACTCTTATTTCAGATTATATATCTAAAAATAAATTCAGAGAAAGACTGTCTTCCTCCATTAAGAAGTTCAGCTGAAAACCAACTGTGGGTGTGATCACACTCGCAGTTGGTTTTTCCAAGTCATGCAGCTAAACAGATTCAGAGGACTTCCGAAGACTTACAGCGTTGAAGAGTCTCGGCGGTGCAGCTTTAGCGTCCGTCTCCTTTAAGTATTTGTCCCACGTGAAGGTCTGAGAGTCATAACCTGCCAGGAAACAGATATTTTTTTTTTATGAAAGTGTTTTCTTAACAGTTCAAATGTATTCATACCCTTCCATTAAAGAAAAGGCAAAACTCACAATAGTCACTCAAATAACTAGAAACTGAAAAAGTAATATTAAATAAAATTTAGTGAAATAAGACATTGCTTTTGAATTGTGGTTGAAAAGAATAATTTAAAAAAACAAAAAAACAAAAAAACTGTCCTGGACAAATTAGAGCACTTTGCTGATGAGCAGTGGGTCAAAATCAAAACACCTGTCAACAGGTGCAGAAGGCTGATTGAGAGTTACAGAAAACACTTTATTGCAGTGATTGGCTCAAAGGGTTGTTCAACTAAATATTAGTTTATGGGTCCCGCCATGCTTGTTTGCTTGTTTTTTTTTGTTTTAAATACTTCTGTTGAACCACAATTCAAAAGGAATGTCACGATTTTCATTAAGTTATTTATTATTACTTTTGTCAATTTCAACTTATTTCAGTGACAACTGTTATTTTCTTTCTTTAATTGGAGGGTATGAATACATTTGAGGACAACTGTATGTTGCTGAAGTTATTTTCTCTCCTCTTGGTTTCTCTCTGTATGTTGAGAGCACTAATCAAGCACCAACACGGTAAAGCTTATCAGAATCAGCAAAACAAAGTACATGAGTGTTGGAGACGAGGTACGTTAATGATTAACTCTTAGTTGATTAATTGCTGTAAGTGAAGTGACGGTTAGCTGAAAGAAAATGTTAGATTGATGCTGTTGCACTCGGTTGTTCCACCAAGTGGAGTCAGACTTTTTTTTTAAGATGGAGTTACAGGTGTGTCTTCTGCATGCCCGAAAGTGCTGCATAAAACATGATTCTGTCTCAATGCTAACTGTGGTGTTCATGAATGCTGCATCATAAAGTTATCCCAAAAAAATCTCTATTTTTGAACATTTACAGGCTATTCACTGTGTGTCTGTCAGCAG